CAGAGAACACATACATACACATTACATAAATCATCCCCGCTCTAGGAGATTGCGCAATTGACAAGATTAATCAGGATAATGAAAATCGCGGATGACATGCAGGTTGAGAAAAGAATCATCTAGAGGAAGAAAGAAATCACCAAAGCAACTAGCGGGCCTCCAAGGAGGAGGCTTTCAAAAGAAGGATGAGGAAATATGGAGTAACGATTAAGGATAAAATCTGCACAATGCCACTACTGGTACAACAAATTCTATGGTGCTTGTATAGTGCTTTGATTGGGCGCTACGAGTTCTTTTACTTCTTTTCTCCGAATTTCCAGACTACGTCTAAAATTAATTCTCTGACAATGATATGAGTGTCCTATTGTAACCTCTGGAAGTCACTTCTTTCTTCCTTCGGTCCCATTGTTACTACGACTTCTAACAAGGAAGAGTTCCCAAGTCAGCTCGGCCAACCGGAATGAGTCATATATCGCGTAACGGGCTTGCAATGTATTTTTCAAATCTGTTTTTGGTTCTTGCGGAACAACTCTACAAAAGAAGTTATCAGCGTTTGAAAGTTTAAATTTGTAAAGTTTTAAGTGGCGTAAAATTGGCGAAAGCTGTACAATATCACTTAAAAGCGGGTTTTCAGCTTTTTACCAAGTATACTGACTACAAGGACGGAAAACAGCAAGTGGAAGTCCGCTAGGTGACGTTTTAGAGCTTTTGCTAATTTTGTAAGCCACTTCAAACATGACAAATTCAAACTTTTGAACCCTTATAACTTCCTTCGTAGAGTCGTTCCGCAGAAAAGGGAAGCAGATTTGGAATCAGCTTTCCAAGCCCGTTACGGCGAATTATGACTCATCCGAGTTGGCCGAGCTGACTTGGGGACTCTTCCTTGTAAGAAGCATTTAGTTTTTCCTCCATTACACTCACGCACATGATCGAGGCTTCCAAGTACGATCAAAAGCGTTTCGTGCGTAATTGAAAGTTACCTTACATTACTGAGAAGCGAATCGTGTTTCAGTCTTGTGGCCCGTTCCATTACCAGCTCTTTCCATTTCATCTTATCGTGGTTGGGGATCTGCTGGTATTCAAATTTCGCTCTTCTCGATAAGAACAGCGGAAGCAGCTTCTTCGCTACCGCATGGGAAATAGCAAAACGTTTCACGATGTCCTTGCATTCATCCAGAAATTCTTCAGAGGTCTTGTCCTCGTTACCGGAGAATATATCCAGTTGGCTTCCCAGGATCTTGGAGGCTTGGTGTACTTGTTTCGGAATCAGCTCTTCACATCCACATCCCCCGGCATGTTTGCTTTTCATTGGTTCCTTGCAAGTGATTCTTCTCTTAGTTGAATTCTGCGCAACCGCCGTAGTAGTCTTTCGCTAACCTTCAAAGTTTCTACGCGCTCCGACGACATTTTGCTGTAACGAAATGTAAAAAAGTACAATGATCACAAGGCCACAATGCTATCATGCAAGAATATTAAAGCTTAATTTGCATGGGGGTCCTATAGAGTAACGAAATATCAAGAGTCAAAAAAAGATTTTTTTGACAGTAAATGAACCTATTTTGACGTGCAAATTCATGGCTCAATGGGGCTAAGTTTCTTCTTTTATGAAGAAGGAGGGAGGGAGCTTCAAACCTTTTGCTACCACATGGCACATGACACGATAACATTTATTCTCTTGCACGATTAACCCTTTCGAAAAAAGTTTTTTAGCTTTCTCAGTTTCATTCTTGGCTTGTAGTATGTACAAGGATGTGTGTTGCAATGATCGAATACACGCGGCCTCTGACCACATAGCGGACCGGCTTGAAAAGAGAAGAAAATTTATGTGGCCGAAATAAAAAAAATTTTTTTCCCCTAAAAGCTTATGGGATAGAACCGCTTTTTTGATCAATCGTCGCTATAATCTCGAAGGGAGACGTTGGTAAGAAATTCGTAGCGGGGTTCCCTGGCCGGTGGGGAAGGCTAAACTTTACGCTGTTTTAACAAAAAGCTAGCACCAAATTAGCAGGAAAAATTCAGATGTTTACTCTTGCTTTACTGATACTTATAGCAAAATTTTTCGTTGTTCCAATTCCTTTTTCTATCAATACCAACTAGGTATAAGCAAACGGAAGAGTTTTTTGGAACTTCTCCCTAATCGCTTATTGAGCTGTACCAACGAGCGACTGTGATCGTACTAGCCGAATCGAACATATGAATTAGACAGTAATAGTATAAACAACTGAAACTTTTTAGGTTTCCAACGACGTTCATCACCAGGATGAACACAAGTATCAATATAGACCCTTACTACGTTAGAAGTTCTTCATGTTTTCCCAATCATAAGCACACTATATGAGGAGCAGGTTTATTGTATAACTAACACAATGCACGATTTAAATAACACAACGTCGTAGGTTTCAGCGAAGCTAAATGATCTCTTGTCGGTCACTCCCACCCCCTCCAGTTTTCTTCCCTTTCCTCAGCGCCGGTCCCAGTCATCTTCGGGTGCATCGTTCCATACCAGGAAATTCTGGGGAACGGTTGCTGGAAGGCGTGGAACTGCCAGCCATACTTGCTCAAGGGCAAGGATCGTCCCCCGGACTCCCACCGGGGAGAAATCCAGCAGGGGCGCGCCGGGGTGGTCCAAGGTCGCACCGAATCTCTGCCTGAGGTGCTCCCTCAGACAGTGGGTGCCCCGGCGCGTTCGGCACCTGCTACACGGGAAGTAGAAATTTTTTGCGTTTCGGGGACCCGGTAGCGGCCATGGTCCGCAATATAAAGGCCGCAGCTTCCATTAAACACGGCCGGAGCTATTTCGAACAAATTGTTGCAGTTGGAAATAGTATCGCTTGACAGCTCGCTCAGGTTGGCTCGAGTAAGGAGTTCTAGAGCAGTGATAAGGCGAAAACAAACAAACACAACACAAACACATGTAAACACATTATATGAAAAGAAAGTTTATTGTATGATTAACATAGTGAACACAGTTTTGCATAACACAATATTGTTCATTTTAGCGAAGCTAAATGTGGGGTGGGGTGACCTCTTGTCGGCAACTCCCACTCCCTACTTTGTTGCTCCCAATCTTCAACACTCCCAATCGTCCTCCTCTGGGTGGTCCCATACTAGAAAGTTCCGGGGGACGGTCACTGGCAGTCGTGGGACTGCCAACCACACTTGCTCGATGGCAAGTACCGTCCCCCTTAACCCCTCCGGGGAGAAGTCTAGTAGAGGTGCGCCAGGATAAGTCAGGGTTGCGCCAAACCTCTGTCTGAGGTGTTCCCTCAGAGAATGTGCGCACCGGCGCGTGGAGCACTTCCGGCAGGGAAAGTAGAAGTTCCCCGCGTTGCGGACCATGACCCGATAATTGCCATGGCCCGAAATGTAGAGACCGCAACTTCCGTTGGAAACTGCCGGGGCGATCTCGAAAAGGAGGGCACACCAATTAGAGATAATATTAGTTGAGAGCTCGCTCAAATTAGTGCGAGCGAGAAACTCCAGTACGATAGCGAGACGGTAGAATACTGCGTAGCGGCGAATCTCAGAAGAGTTTTCGGGCACGACCGATAAACGGCCTGCCCTGTTTCGGTGTTCCTCCGAATCCTCCGGGGCTTCATCTCTAAAGTGGATAGCCAGGTAAAAGAGTAGTTGAGTAGCATTCATAATAGGCGCTATAAAGTTTGATCGTGCTTATATAATATTTAAGGCTATCAAAAAAATCTGGGCCAAGCGCAACAACTGTCATAAAAAGATGATTAAGTTCGAGGCCACAACCTCGATGTAGAGCTTGCTTTGTTATACATCGTGTGGCAGGGTCTCTATTTCTGCCACAGTCTATATCGTTCAGCCTTAACCCATTATCACAGATCCTCACGTTACAATTCCCGAGGCATGACCGGAGAAAGTCCCGGTGCTAGTGCAATGTTGCGAATTTAGCTTTTTTATACTACGGGACTAGCACGCGCCATAAACAACTAGCTGGAACCTAGCCATGTCGAGATGCCGCCAATATATCTGGGTCCTACGTCGTCTCCCAACAACCATTTATTCCTAGTGCAGAGTACACACAGACATACACACTACATATATCTCTCCCGCTCTAGGAGATTGCGCTGAGAAGACCAATCAAGATAGTGAAATACCCAGATGACAGCAGGGCGAGGGTTTAAAGAATCATCAAGAGGAACAAAGATATCACCAAAGCAACTAGCGGGCCTCCAAGGAGAGGCCCCTAAGAGAAGGATGAGGAAATATGGAGTAACGATTAAGGACAAAAACCACACGATGCCACTACTGGTGCAACAAATTCTATGGTTCTTATATAGTGCTTTACAGACCCGGCGCTACAAGGTCTTTTACTTCTTCTTCTCCCAATTTCAGATTATCGTCTAACATTAATTCTCTGACAATGATTTGAGTGTCCTATTGTAACCTCTAAAGCCACTTTTTTCTTCCTTCGGCCCCATTGTTACTACGGCTTCTGAGAAGCAGTTAGTTCTTCCTCCGTTCCACTCACGCACACAACTGAGGCCTCCAACTACGATCAAAAGCGTTTCGTGCGTAACCGAAAGTTACCTTGCAGATTTGATCCAGTGGTCGCTGTCATCGTCGTCTTCGGAAAGTTCGGGATGTCAGATACAAAATTATAGAGAACAAACACCAACACATCTGATGCTTCCATTGCGATGCGATCAAGGTTTTGCGCATTCCTCATATACCCGGTCGCATCAAAGTCCGAAATACGACGTATTTGGGCCCTCCACCAACCATCCAAAAAAAATTGCTACGATTAGCACGTCACCAGTCATCCTCGTCGGCCGTAGAGGCGTCATCAGGTACTGGAATACGTGCGAGAATAGGGTTCTGTGGGTGCAACACATCTTTTGGGAGTCGCAGAAATGCAATCCAAGTTTGTTCAAATGTGAGTAACCAGGGCATCTCCTCTCCGGACGCCGAAAAATCGATGAGGGAACCCCGGGGAATCTTAATATAGCCCTGTACCTCATTTCGAGGTGCCGATGAAGCGAGTGGCGAGGTTTCACAGGGCAAGTTTTGCACGGGAAACGTTTGGCCGTCAGAAACGAAATTCTGTGGGTGGGGAAGTGGACTATGGTTTTCCCACAGGATCCATTGAATGCCCAAGGCAATGGGAAACGGCGAGCGAGTCCAATGCTCGAGGGAATCCGGAGGAAAGGAAGTGGAGGTTGGGCGCTCGATGAGGTTTGCCAGGTTATACATCCTTATATAGGGGTGGAAAATCGGATGCTTCTCGGAAGAAACGACAGGTTCTTCTTCACTGCTTTGGTCCAGTCATCACTGTCGTCGTCGTCATCCGCGATATCAGGGGCATCGGACGCAAAGTTGCGCAGTATGAATACCAGAAAATCTAATTTTTCCATGGTGATAACTCAAGATTTGCGCACCTCTTATATACTCACAAGTCGTATCACAGTCCTAGACCGGAACCCCCATGTAAGGTTCGCATATCTCTCAAGTGCGCGAATTATTTTAGATCCTCCTATCATGTGTTATCTCTTATCACCTTGTGAGCCCTCACAATTATTGATTGATTGGAAGAGCTCGTCTAAGGCCATAAATTGCATGTCCACTTGAAGATCACTAATTCCCAACGACACTTATCTTCGGAATGCTAAGTTCAACATTAACGGCAAGTAAAGCAGTACATCACCCGGCAAGTATATCACACAATGCATTGACAGAAAAAAGAAGGCACGATCCTCAAGAATAGACGAGAGAGGAGGATCGTGCCCAGAATCATGTAAAGGAAGGGGTGTGAAGATGTAGTGGGACTCCGTCTTCTCAATTTGTTCCCTTCCTTATATACAGCTCTCCAGAGTACCGTCAGTACTTCAACTTCGTCGTTCGGCGAAGTTTATGTCATAACGAGGTTACAGTATATTACTTCCTACCGGAAGACCCTTAGGTCACTTCTTCCTCCGCCTTGATTTTTCGCGACCTTCACTCATCTTTTGGCTTCTTTTTTGTTGCAATTCGTGCAGTTTGCAACTCATTTCGCAAGTTTTCTCAACAGAAGCCGGAGCCTTCATGTAAGGCTGCCGCTTATCTGTAGCATGGCAGGCCCTTTAAGTCCTATCGTTTAGCACAGTGTGTGGCGCCCAGCCTTAACCCATTCATAATTCTGCAGGTTCCGAATTCGTGGCATGACCGAGGAACTAGCCGGGTGCAGGACAAATGGCGAAGTTAGTTTTAGTAGCAAAAAAAAAGGAAAATCGAAGACATCACAGCAGTTGGTCCTTTCCATTCTGTTTTGATCCTTATACACTGCTCTGCTCTCAGAATTCCTTTGGTTCTTCAAGTGTGTTTTTCGGCGGAATCCAGGTTTTCATAAGAGGACAGCATGTTTTGTTCAGCTGGAAACTCTTCAGGTTAACTTCTTCCTTCGCATCATTCTGACCGCGACCTTCGCCATTACTATTTCATTTAGAAACCTTACTTTCGTGTAATTTTGCAACTTATTTTTGCAGCTGTTGTCTATATACTTTAAGTGAAAGGAGAACCCACAACATTCCAAAATCAATGAATGACTTAGGGTGTTTGAGTGCAAGTCTTCATTTACACTAAAGATCTTGCAATACTGCATTCTTTCTTGATTCCAGTTCGAATATCGCCGCAGCTTTCAAGTAGTAGGCTTGTTCCTCGGCTCCAATTACGCACAAAATCGCGGCTTTCGAGTACGATCGTTTCTGATTTCTAATTTCTCATTTCTTTAATTTTTCTTCACACAAGAAAGGAGATTGAATGGATGCCCTCTGCAAGACACGATCATCCATTTCTTCTTGACAATGATTATATCTTATATAGTCCCTTTCTATCAGCACCTATGAAAGAATGAAATAAACAAATGAATAGTCAACTTATTTCAGTATTAATAAATAATGAATAAAGCAGTATAGTCACAACAGTAAATTCGTGATAGCAGTAAATAACAGTAATTAGAAAAGCGAAGAGATTTAACTGCAAGTTCTACGAAGTCATGCGCTGTATTAATAGGTATCCACTTCTTTCTAGATGAGCAATCGATAGCGTTGTCAGCGCGAATCGGCTACCATCACCTTGTCCTTGAACACTTTTTTGTGGAGAAGGTCATGAGAACTTAGACGTTTGCAAACGAGGCCAATGACAAAACTTTGCAGAAAAGCTCCCGTTTTTGAATAACAAGTAGTCTTAACAGGGCAGAGGTGCAAGGAGGGCAGAGTCATTTCTTCGACACCACCGTGAAAGCGGTGGGAAAATTGAATCCGTCCTCGGGTTGAATCGCAGCAGTGGCTCTTTCTATCTCTTACATCTTGCTGCTCATTTTCTTAGCGGGATGCAAAGTCACCCCAATAGAGAAGGAGCGCGGTCACACAACCTCAGATCTTTGCAGTTCAGAGATCCAAAACTCGCGTTGTTTATGCATCGTCAAAATTTTCACTATCTAAACATATTGAACCGAGCATAAAGGGCCACTGACGATTATCGGAGGTTATGTAACAAGTTCGTGAGCGAGGCTTGACTATATACCTTTTGCCTAGATTGTTTGCACTGAAAGATAGTAGAGATACTTGAAGCTGGTTAGACATCGTTGAAGCAATATCCCAACAGAAGGCTTTGCGTCGTTGGTCCTATGATGTGGATATTTTATTGACTACATGTTCAAGTGAGTCTTGTATTCTCTATATAACGTCTCATTTGATGACACACAGAAGTGTGTTGTCAAATAAGCTGTAATTCATTGAGGTTGTGTGATTTCCCAGTGATCCTCAGCTTCCTGTCTCGCTTCTACGGCGTTATTTATATACCAGTGTGTCACCTCTGCTTCGCAGAGGCTCCCGCTAGTCCTACTTTCTGTATGCCTTACCCATTACTGCAATAAAGGTATTGAAACTTACCGCGCAATGCCGACATGCTTTGTAAACAACTACTCTTTGCGAAAGCTTTGCCATGTGAAGACACACACACACACACACACACACACACACACACACACACACACACACACACACACACACACACACACACACACACACACACACACACACACACACACACACACACACACACACACACACACACACACACACACACACACACACACACACACACACACACACACACACACACACACACACACACACACACACACACACACACACACACACACACACACACACACACACACACACACACACACACACACACACACACACACACACACACACACACACACACACACACACACACACACACACACACACACACACACACACACACACACACACACACACACACACACACACACACACACACTTAGCCCGTTATTATAAGTAACTAGCTGGCTTACCCGGCTCTGCCGTATGTTCCGAATAGAAAATTCCATTTCTTAACCAATCCGGACCAACTTGGCACACATACACTTCGGGCCCCGGCGGGTGTCACAGTCCTCTTTTTGTTATCGATCGATGTCGATTTTATCGATTTTTTGCAAAATTTGACCTACGGGGCTGGGAGTTGGCACAGGGGGTAATCGAGCATGCTGATCACCCCCGTGGGGGTCAGCATGCTCGATTACACCCCTCTGCCAAATTCCAGCCCCCTAGCTCAAATTTTGCAAAAAATCGACAAAATCGATATCGATCGATAACGAAAAGTGGACTGTGACACCCGCCGGGGCCCGAAGTGTATGTGTGCCAAGTTGGTCCGGATTGGTTCAGAAATGGAATTTTCTATTCGGAAGATACGTACATACAGACATACATACAGATATACAGACATACAGACATACATACAAACAGACATTCAGCTTTATATATATGATGATGAAATAAAAGTCTCGCAAAAGTGATCTCCAGATGAAACATTTTTAATAAGAACCGATGATTACTAGATTTTTGAAAATTCGTGGCCGCCAAATCGAAGTAGTCAATTTTCTTGTTCCTACCTGTTTCAGCCTTACTTTTAGTCAATTCTTGTATACCATTCAGGAATGACATGCTAAGTTTAGGAAGTTAGGAAGAATAGAAGTGAGACCAAACATCTTCAATGGTCTTGAATGCAATCGATACCGATAAGAATTCTCCATGTACCTTTTTGGTTGAGCACATCTTGCGGAAGTGTTTCATAACACACAAGACTTGTCTCATAATTTGGAATCAGCCTCAGAATGTAGCATTGTTTGAGGCTGTTTCCAAGTTATCCAGGCTTGACCGGAGGAAGTTTAAGGTCAGAAAGGTTTTAAACAACATTTTAAACTTTTGGAAAATTGTATACTGTGAACGGTAAATACCACATTCGCAAAGCCAGGCGCTCAGTCAGCATGGTTTATTCCAAGTGGTTGTCACATCAGTCAGTTACGGTATCAAATCTCTCCTGCTATACATCTCCTTACATCACTTCGCTCAACTACTTCTAAATTTGATCTACCCCATCGGCAGTTTTAGGTGGTAATTGGTGGCTCGTTGGTCCCTGCACAAGAATTCATAAGATGAAACCAAAACATATGCGCTATTTCTGACCCCGCCTGTATGGCAAAAATAATGAGCCTTTGTCAGCGGAAACGATTCAAAAAAATTGAGGCTGATAGATTTGATATAGTGTACTTAAACAAATAGCTACGGCAAGTTTGGCATTTCGCCAAGACAAGAATGAGCAGCTTGCTTTATCGTCTCAAACTTTGATACATGACGAAAAGGTCTATGAAAATCCAGCGTCTGAGAGGCAACTCTGTGATTATCCATTTAGCTAGCAATCCTTTTTCATCTATTTGGTTCGCTGAAGTTCGCTAATTCAATTTATGCGTGCGTTCATGTTGCTCTTGGCTTAGTTCAGTTCCCTCATAAAATCACACAATTACTCTATCGGATGTTAAATCTTGGATTGGTGTCAATAATGGGTGCTTTGCATGCCATCTCTTCTCCCCACAAGTTTATCGTCAATAGAGATAGACAACCAAAAAATTGGATTCTTAGAGACAAACTGGGAAATTCAGGTTTTGCAACTTTGCTTGAGCCTGAAATTAAAAAGATGAAGTAATCGTATCATCTGTTGGATCAACAAGCTTTATACCAAATTTTTGAAGGCCTGCTCCTCCCTTTTTTAACTTACTTTTTGAGTTTTGGAGAGAGAAATTGGCCCGTTTTTAATCGAAAATTTTTGTTACTGCGTTAACACATTGGTAAAGAAAAAACACTGAAACTGCGAGATATCTTGAGTCAAAGTAATTTTAGACTAAGTTGATTTCAGCTCCAATTTATTAGGAGATTGTTGTCTTTCCAGCTATCCTTTTCTACCTTGTTGATATCTCTGCCTTAGTTAGTAAACCACAGCAAATCATAAATAAAGGTAATTTGGAACTTTTCAAAATCTGAAAGCCAATCTTTTGCATTTTTTGGTGGAACACTTTTGCTTCAGTCTCCTACGATATCTTGAGATTCCAAAATTCTGCATTTTTCACAGAAATGAAGCGAGGCGGAGGAAGAATGTCAAGGTAATTGCTCATCGAAGTATAAAATTTCGCACATATATTTTCTAAAATGATGCACTTCAAATTTTTATGCGGTCAAAATTTGCAGAAATGAGATAGTTTTTATGCAGTTGCTTCAAGCTACGCCTACATCTATGGAGCGTTACATACCAATTTAGAATTCAGATTTATTTTCCATCTATGGAACGAGCACACTTTAGAGTCGCTGAGTTTTACTGGCGCATGAGTTCGAGTATAAAATTACTTTTATCCAATCACTAAAATAATCCAGGAGTTGAATATGAAGTAGCTCACTTACGTGATTTTTGTTACAAAATAATATTTTCAAAGCATTCTATGCCAGATATAAAGGCCACAGGTCAAGGCCAAGTGATCATTACGGTAAATACATCTATTCTGTCGGTCCTTTCGTGTTCCATAGTCTAATATGGTATGATATAAATTTTCTGAATGTCTGAAGTTCATAAGTTTTGAACTATATCTATAATCGTTAGATGCGAGTTACGCTGTAGTCAATATGTTGGTAGTAAACTTCATAAAACCGGAATTCATACAACACTTTTTGTGATTAAGACTGCCAAGGAGACTAGCAATTCTTGCGCTTGAGCAACATTGATAATAATTCAAAAGCACGGAACTATGTTTATTAATGTCATAATGATTTTTCTGCACTGGAATCATGCTGTGAAGAATGCAATTCAGCAAACGGGTAATGAAAATCAAACTCAAAAGTGAGGCTCTTTTTCAAAAATGGAACCTAGGGTTTTGAAAAAATGGCAGCGTTTAAATGCCAAATGTCGAAATATTTATATGTGTCATTGACATTGTGGCACTTCCACATAAAGTATGCTTGCATGATTTGTACATTCTAATAAATTATTCAAGAAGCAAAAAGCGAAAGACTCTGCTCAATTTTACTCCCTGTACGCAAATACACAATCAGAATGAGTTTCCAGTGTAAGCTAGGTCTCGACTCTAGATTCTTTTTTTTCTGTTGAGCAGCCTTGTGTACTTATTACCTTCGCACAAACAATGGGTGACCTGTCAATAATTCAGAGTAAAAAGTAGTTCTCACTGCACTTAAGTCTCGATGACGTAGAGATTTTCTACTAATAAGAGAATATTAGAGAATCTGGATGAAAGCCAAAGATACCAGACTTCAGATGACGTTGGTCGAATCCTCCTAACAAATGCTATTTATGACAGCAACCAAGGCTCAAACTAGACGAGATTTAAAAAAACTTTGCAAAGTGGAGCATATACAAGTGCAAATTCTTCACACAGAATTTGACGGAAACAGCTCTTTAGAGACAAGAAATGTGTGAATTCAAAACCAGCGAAGTGGAAAACACCCCTTTGAATTTTCTCGATTCAAAATTTTGGACCCTGCAGTTTTTCGTAGTGTGCGTATATGTAAAGGTGTAGATGCAAATAAACACTCATAGATTATCACAAATATATGGAAACGCTCGAACAACTTGTAAAGGAGGAGCGTGACATGTACTCTAATAAAATTTCAAACTTCTGCAAATTTTCGCAATTCTGGACCATGTTATTTCTGAAACGCTTTGTTGAATGGCTAATTCAATTTTCAGCGTTTTTTTATAAAACTAATTTGATTAATCCACAAATTAGAAAAAAGTTGCTTGCATGGTGCAAATTTGGGGGACCGTAACCCCACGCCCGCGCTCGCCATGACGACAAGGTACTCCTTTCCCTTCTCAACATAAAATTTTTTATCAAATATTTTTCTAAAGGTTGCAAAATAGTTTATGAACTTCAAATGACGTGTGTAGCTGCAAATGAAGAAATAATGAGACAGACAGTAGATGCATCTTATGAAGTTGTTTTGAAATTTTCGGTTTCACTTTGCCAACTTTAGCAGCTGTCTTAATGGGGTAGGATGATTTGCTGATAGGCACTAACAGCAAAAAAATATTACTCAACTTGATTTTTGACTCAAACTACCTTTCGCTTTATTATGCCATAAAAGCACCGTAGCTACTGCCGAAAGATAAGATATTGCTTCTAATAGTTCCTTTGCTTAGACTTCTAAATAAGCACTTTCACCCTTAGCGGACATACGCTATGCTATTTTATCCCAGAACGCTAAAAATTCTAGATACTATGTGTTCGAAATGATTCTACAGGCAGTGGAGCTTCATTATTCAAATAAATTGAAATTTTTGGCTGGAATAAAGATTAAGCGAGAGAAGAGCGATAAAATGAGGTGTCCATCATTTGGAATTCTCAAGCATTCAAGCAGCGTTTATGTGTATGGATAAATGTATCAATGATTTTCCACTAAAACCATAAGTTTCTAAAAATGAACAGCAGTTCGTAATTATAAGATTTTTTGCCAGAATGTTCTAGCGAGAGAGCTTTTCATATAGAGTATAAGTTGAGAACGCGTATTTCGTTTCATACCCTCTCCCCTAAACGAAAAAGGCTAGAGAAAATTTTTGGAAGTCTTAGTGAGGAAAGTTTTGATTACGCTTGAGTAAGTAACGAGAAAAAAACTGACCATGGTGTTCTTTGTCGTAATGCATACAATTGGATTTTTGGATCTGTGAAACAATTAAATGATTGTACTAGCTATTAAAAGAGTGCTAGAGTAAATAAACGTAAAAATAACAGAAATCATGTATGTTTTGAAAACCTCCGAATGAATATTCTGTTAAAAACTAGTGTGTTCTAAGATATAAAAAATGAAAGATTCGCTTTTTTCTGTAAACGAATAACACCGAAATTGTAAAGTTGTGAATGATGCTAGGAAACTGTTTGTTTCACACATTAGTTGCTTGAAGTTTTATGTTGCTGGGAAATTTTTTAGCTTTGCAGCGATCTGGGGCTGTCAAACACAATTTTACCATTAATGAAGAGCACAACCCGAAGATGGAAAGCATTTATCTCGAAGTGGTCATTTCCAACAAAATACATATCATTCAAGAGGTCCCTTAACAATGAGTATAGAGCAACTTTCCGGACATGTCAAAAGAGTTAATTATTTCTAACAATTGCGTGGTCAGATACTGTCTAAATAATCTAGATTCGCAGTTTGGTTTTGCTTCCGAGTTTTATGCCTAAATGAGAAAAACTTCGTGGGTTTTCCAAGCTACCCCGCTACCCTAGTCGATTTACTGCAACATGGGCTCAAATAGATACCCATAATCTATATAGAAAGAATCGCCTGCCCAATCAAAAAAGGTGAAACTGTGGGAAACCGCGCGGCTCCCGCAGCGAAACCGCCTGCAAATATAGCACCTTTAGATTACTGGTTCACTAGTTTCCAACAACGAACCGTTTAGCAGATATAGAAAAGAGATCTGGAACAGCATCTTGAGATGGTAATTAAGGTATAAATTTTATTGTAAAAGACCATTTCGAGTTGATGGCCTTCGCTTGAGAGTTTTGAATTTGCATTCAGATGTGTTACAGTTGAGAAACAGCGTAACATGTATTTATACGGGCAAGTACGGTGTCAGGAGAGTGAGCGGAACAGAGTTCTGTTGTCGAAATGCAAGTTCTAACCACATACAAACGGACACATAGGCGATGTTGAGAGAGAAGAAGAACTTCCGTATTACTTTCGACCAAATCGGATGAATTCGAACTTGTTGCGCCGCTTCTCGGCCATCTTGATTGGAGTACCTGGAAATTTTCGTGTTCAAAAAGTTTCAATCTCTGCTTCTTCAAGTGGTCTAGTAAAAAAGTCATTTTTCTCACCTTCTTGCATGTTCTCAATAGTTGCAAGAGCATTCATTAATTGTGCAGAAACCTGAAGTCACCTCATTCAGAACTATTCTTTCTCCAAATCCTATAAAATCTCTACCAATTCCTTACCTTAGCTAGCATTTCGCTATTGTCATTGTCGTACACCAATGGTTGCATCAATTCTGGTGCTCCTTTTGAATCTAAATTTCTTTGCACATTATTCTTGAAGTCTCTGTAGCAAAACTTTGAAGAAAAGATTTATTAAGACTCCAAAATGAAACTAGAAGAAGTGCAAAGCAATCATATCCTAACGATCATTGCTAATGTTCGCGTGCTTTGATTGTATACAATTTGTAAAAAAAATCATAAAATTGTTTATACAGGTAGTAAAATCTGCGATGAGCTCGAAAATCGTGCATCTTCAGTTTTTTCCTTGTTGAGAAATAATTAAGCAGATTGGCACGCACCTTTATAACGTTTCACAATCTATGTACATATGTACCTTCAATGTCTTCGGAAATTCTGAGTGTCCAAAAGTTTTTACAATATCTCGTCTTTAAAAGTAATGGTTGACTTGAAATGGCATTCAATTTAGCAATAGGGGAACGTTTCCAGAAAAACTACAAAATTATATGTTTGGTGATGTGGTTTTTCTCCAAAATGCTTTCTTTAGAGCCATGAAATGGAGCCTTTTAAGCTAAACAAACACCGATTGATAGTTCGCGTGATTTATTCACTATGAAAGCGACTTGGCCGAGGCAAGCTGTCTCTAGAGAACAGTTCATTGCCTTCTAAAAAAACTGCAGGGATCCAAACAATATCTGCCAAAGTTCCGAAAAACTTACGTGGTTTTTGCGCACTAACAAGCAGCATACTGGCGAAGAAAAGCAAGATGGTTGAAGTCCACATTGTCAGAACAGACACAGTTCACTCAAATTTCGATAGTTCTCTCCACGAAGGGGGTGGGTGGGTGTGAATGAGTGGTGGAGTGTCAGAAGACGTAGAATGGGGCGGCACGCAATCAAGTCTCCGAGAAATGTGGCGAAAGTCAACGACGAAGAAGCACTGGAGAACCGCCTCCAGAATAGAGAGCGATGTACAGAAACAAACAATCACCCCCAATTAGCCCCAAGCACAGCTCCATCCAGCATCCATTTCATCGGAATCGTCTCAAGACCGCTATCTGGGACAATCGCTCACAAATTGAGCAGCAACGACAACAATGGAGCACGAATTCATGACGTGAGATTTCGGAATCGCCGACTGAGCAGTCTCAATCCTCGCGACTGATGATACTGGCCGAGCACTTCCTAAAAATTGCACTCGCCCGCGAGTACTATTGGTCACGCTAATTTGGTCTCAACATTTTGCAAATCTCTGGTCGACGAAATTTTTGGCAGATTGCCTTTTTAAAAAGCTTCAAAAGCAACGTGTTGTGGCTTCAAATACTTTTTGAATTTGTGAATAGTTGAAGCAGAGACCCGCCAAGGTGTTCATAGATGCACAAATCAAATTAATTCAAATCATGGAGATAGCGGTTGAAATATTTGGAAAATATCTTGGCTAAACATAGTCGATAGTTTAATCCTAGAGTGAGAATTTTGCTATCCTTCAAAACATATTGCTATCGGTGTTAAGTCAGTCAGCTTTTACTGTGAGGCTCACTGACGTCTAGAAACGGTTCAGCATGAGTTTTAAGAATGTAAGATTCTTGAGTTTTTTTTTTCGTATAAAAGCTAACGTTCTTTTCTTTTTACTTCGCTAGATGGGTCAAAAACTTCATGTCTTGCTATTCATCCTCAATTTTTCCTTTCGCCCTGAGGCTAAGGACTGGCTGGTCTGCATTGTTTGCACTTTCTTCTTGATCATTTTTCCTTTTTGATGCACCTCGAATGCACTTGAACAAATAAAATAGAACAAAGTGTGACTTTGGTAGCTACGTAAAGTTTGGCAATGATAGCTCTAGCTAACACATACCCAATTCGATTCCAAAATGGGTATGGAAGATCTTTCTTGATGATAGCCGGGAAATTCTTCGTCTTACGTCTTCAAACTTCAAAAACAGTTGAAGAATAGAAGAGAAAAAAAGATTTGTGGGTCTTGCTACATTTGCTTTTCCTTACCACCCACACCTTTACGTAACTGGCAATATAACGAGTCGGTGCAATGGAGTCATTATTGCTACCATTTAACGATTAGAACAATATCAGGCAATGGTACAAGTTTCTTTCACAATTCTTCAGAAAGGTTTTCAAGGGTTGAATGATTACAACAGAATGACAGAAATGAAAGGAACTCCAAGCGTTGCTGTTAAAGTCCGTTCTTTCTTGTCGGAGCCCTTCTATCCACCTTCTATTAATAGGAAGCATATGAATGAAGGCCAAGTTCGGTGCGATTTGAGTTTAATGTGGGGGTGGATGAGTCTTTTACTCCCCCTGTAAAAGTTTGCTGCGCTGTTCAAAAAGCAAAAGCTGAAAAAATAGGTTGCATGTAATTAGACTACGACAAACATGTTTTCCATGATCGAGAAAATTACTGACACATTCTTTTTCGAAATTGACTGAGCTTCATGGCTAATGTCCACCAAAAAGGGCAGTTCTTTTGGAGAAAAACAAAATTTCAGCAGAGTGAAACATGTTTCTTCGGATTCTATGAGATAAGCTTTTAGCTCAATTTATCTCAGTTGTAATTTGGACTATGTTGAAAATGAACAAAACCAGAGCTGCTAGACACTTTTACCTTGTGTCAAGCTGATAGTGAGAGATGGAAATTTTTACCCATAAAAATGAAAATTGTGCTTTTATAAAAATGTAAATAGATTTTACCATGTTTAATCACGGTTTGAAAAGGTATACATTTTAGATTGATGATGCGAGAGCAAAATAGATACAGATGCAATTCATATTTTATCACTTTGGATGTTGTTGGTGTTGAACATTCAGTGCTGTATCAGAAACTTGAATAACTACTTTATCACATAGATTAGTCTTGAAATTTTTTTTTCTTTTCTGATAAACTTAAATAAACCCTAGCCCTAATAAGCAACTCTCTTCTGGATCACCCTAGAAGGAGAGTTGCTTTTCCAAAAAAAGGGTAGTTCATTCATAATAACTAAGAAGTGTTTCGCATTCAAAGTCCATGTATTTAGTTCTAGCTTGATTTATTCGGGTGTTACGTAAGATTTGTTAAACTCAACTGAAAAAATTCTCATAACTTTGGCAAACGATTTTTTCTTATCACCCAATGTGTATTGTTGCAGATTTTTGATATATACAATTCATACATAGAAAACCAAATTTTCGAATTTTTTGAAATTTTTTCGAATTATTTTTGGCAAACTTTCAATTTTGAATATTGAAGAGTTTGAACTTCCAAACTGCCCAGTGGTTACTACCAATACTCCTAGAAGTTCATGAATAATCTAAAAATTGGAAAAGAAGTTGGAGTACCTTTATAGAGTTGCCTTTATATTTACTGTAAATCATGTGGTAAAGGCATAAATGGTGCCAGCGGTTAGCCCTTCATCCCTTCCCCATATATGCCAAATATAAGATCTCCAATTTTCTAGAGTTTTTCAGAGCAAAAAGCAGAAAGTGTAACAAAACTTATGTAACAACCTAATATTTCAGTTACAGATTACTGTAGATTGGTGACATGAGACGCCCCGATGCCGCAAAGTTTTTGTTTTTGACATGCCCATTTTTTCTGGAATGTTAGTGTTTATGACGTTCTCGCAAGCACTCATTGCTCATCAGGGAATATCGACGACTTGACCGAAAACTTGAGAATCTTCATGTTGTGTAATAAAGTTAGTGTTGGAAATGCGTTATGATTGGGATGTGATGAGCAAATGGAACGGCAAACTCTATTTCATTTCTAAAGTGATTTGACGACAAGAACAACAGCATATAATATAAAATAGAAGGCCAAAGAAGATCAGAAGATCTTAGCAGCTCTTCACATGATTGTAAAGCTTGTTGGTCTTCCGTAGGCATCTCTGAAAGTACTTGTTTATTTACGTAACATATACGGATAAATAATTTTCTTACGTCGCTACGCCACCACCACCTGCATCCGGAACTTCATAGGATTCTTGAAGATGCTGACGATCCACAGCAGGCTTTGCCTAGAAAAAGACCTAAGTTTAGAAGAAGGCGTTAAGAGTAATCGAATACAAATATCTTTTGTCTTCTGGAATTCTTTTTCTTTCGAAATTATATACGCAGATCAGCTAGCAAAGGTTCAAAGGAATCTATGATTTCTATAACACAACAATATATTGCTTCATTCTAAATTTTGTATTTTTGTGAATCTGTAGCTTAAATAGGTTCAATACTATCTATTTTCAACTTATGCCAATCAAGAGAAGTTCTTAGTGGCAAGACATAGAATGTAAGAAATTTGACACTCACTTTGCATTTGTGCCATTTTTTGCCAATCCTCTATATTCTTGCGCAAAAATAGTTTACTGAACAAATCACAATTAACCAAGAACTGCCACTATTTTTCTAAATCAGAAGCTCCTGCTATTAGTAAGAACAGCGTTGAAACGTTAAACTGATAAGTGGAACTAAATATTGAGTCAAACACCTTTGTTTTCATAACTGCACTAAGAAGGATGAGTTCTGAGAGAAGAGGTCCTGACAAACGTGGGAAAATCAGTAGATTTGCATCTTTTACCTACGTCTATATATCCATCACAGTTGTTAGTTTGGAATAAAAGTGACTGTGTTTAGCATCTACATTACTCCGAAATATGACATGAGAAATAAGCATCGCCTTTTTGCGTTTACATTACTCTCACCGATCTGCTCCTTAGCAACATAACAGCTCTGAAATCAGTTATACCTAATCGCTACCGTTTCCCTCTCACACTCATATGTCAACCTTAGAACATATTGTCCCTCTAACGGCACTAAAAGTTTTCACTATAGCCCTAAAACTTGACGAATTTCAAATTATCTTCATTTGATTTCACGCTCGTTGCGAGCTAGACCGCTTACAAAGTTATGGGCATTTCTGCAGTTACGACATCTACACTTTTATTGAGCTTCACATCGATATGACGCATGTTTTCTCGTCATTTCTTTTTTTTTGATGTTTGAGAAAGAACGCGTGAATGGAATGAGCTTGTAGTGCTTTTTTGCTGAGCAGAAAAAGTGGATGAATTATGTAGCGGCCCTAAGATCTGATTATTGGCTCGTTTTCAATATTAATTTCCAGAAGGGAGCGATAAAAAAGAAGATTGAGCTATAGGACAAGGACAGGGCTCACACTATGTCCATAATTTGACCAAAATTACCAGATTGCGTGTTTGAGCCAGTTTCAAAGTGCACTGAAATTTCAAGGGCAGAATATCGTATAGTTAGCGTAAGGTACTTATGACAGTAGCATGCTTTATACCTAATGGGAAAAGTCAAAGAAACCCATTCCTTTTTTATGGAAAATTCATTAGTTGAACAGTTATAGAAGAAATTTCGCTCAATGTTGACTAATGCGAGCATCCAATATCCAATTGCCCCAAACTTGTCGATTTCTCCTGAACTACAATTCAATTTGTCTTATTTCGTTATCGTGTTACAAATCTTGTGCAAAATTTCAAATGTTGACCCATCCATGCATCTTAAATCGGTTTCATGATTGCGAGGGATTGCGAGATTTTTACTACAATTACATACAACATGACATGAATGTAATAAATACTAATTGGCTGGTATTAACCTGAAGGCAGGTGCAGGGTAACTTAAAACCAATTTCTTAATTTGAATGATTAATACGCCTTCATTAAGGACACAAGCCAAGCGAATGCTGATGTCATGCGTTGAAGTTCGAGACAAGTTCAAACACTCGCCCAGACCGTGCTCTGAGGGAACCGATACGCTCCCCGATTACGGTAGAGCGCGATCTGGGCGAGAGTTCGAAGCTGAATTTTTCAATCACAAAGTTGTCATAGGAGCCTTACGTCGCGCAATGGCTTAGCTCAGGGCTCAAAATCAGTTTTCATATAGAAAAATAGAGATGTCAAGTATGGTTTGCCAGTGCAATGTCTACGAATACGTGGAGCTTTCTTAAATCCAGTTATAGATCACATATTTCTGTTTACAAAAAATCAACATTTTCATATTTCATATTTCAGTTAGCAAAAAATAAACATCTTTCACCTGTGTTGATTGTGTACTCGCTCTTCTCGATGATCTGGAAGACGAACGCTGCCTCGAACTCGAAGAATTCCGACGTTCATTCTCCTTTTCGCTTCTTTGCGATGCTCGAGAAGCCATTCGATCCACAGACTGGTGACGTTCAACGGAAGCAACTGGGTCGTAACTATGCGCTGAGTGCCTGGAATGGGTAAGTTTAGGTTGAATATAGGGTAAGTTCAAGTAACTAAAGACATTAACCTTGATTGAGCTCGGCTTGCTTGTCGACTTGCACTTGGAGTTCGTGGAGGTGGTTTACCACGTAAACTGGGGATAACAGCACTGTGTCGGTCCTCTTCTTCCATCGAAAACATAAGAGTTACTTACGTCAGAAAATTTGTAAATCAATTCAATTCTGTATAGTAAATTCAATTGTCATAGAAAAAAATTACAAATAATGTAGTGAGCATAGAGGTTCAGGATGAAATGAATGCGCGATAACAACCTATGCTTCTTTGGGTTCTTCAGAAGTGAATCTGAATGAAGTGACTCCAAATTGGGGAGTGGACGACAATATGTCGCTGCGGGAACTTCCGCTTGGATGAAATGGCTTTTTAGATGTGGAAACATTGACTACATACCTCATAAATCTCCAAATTTGCATAGAAATTGGAAAATTTGTGTTACAGAAGCAGTAATCTGGATTATTTTTGACAAAAATTTATAATCTACTTACAATAATTAATGTCTAAAGCCCATCTCTAATTTAGAAACGCCGACGCCTACCAAATTATAAAAAATAAAATCCTGAAAATTACAGAAAAATAAGAACGTACTTTTTGCTGCCATGTTGGTTTTTTCTCCCACCATTCAAGTCTTCGAGGCTCATCTGATGGCGAATCCCTTCCTAATAGAAACACTGCATATTAAAATTGTTTTATTCGTGTACGCTTAGAAATAATAGAATGGTAAAAAATAGTAAAAATAGTTGAAATGGAATTCCAAAGGACAGGAGCAAGCTGTTTTCAAATCAAATAAAACCACCTGTTTCGACCGGTTCCTTGACTTTGGCAACTTCAACTTCTAAAGAACATTTGTTATGTATACTAAGAACAATGTACAAACCCCAAAACGCTTTGATGTGTTGGTAAATATAATAGAAGAATTTTTACCTCGTCTTGGTGAAGCTTTTGCTCTTCTCAAATTAGCTTCACGCACTTCTGCGCTATGTTTTTCCATGGCTTTTGCTCTTTCCATTTGCTTTCTTTTCTCCGCCTCTTCTTCTTGCCGGATTTTTTCATTGTATTTTTCTAGCCTTAAAACATATAGTCATTTTTCTACAGGAGCTATCTACAGATTGTCGAGTTTACCTCCGCATCTCGCGCTCTTCCTCTTCTTTTTCTTTCTGTTTTTCTAGCTCGCGCCTTCTCCTATTTTCCTCAATTTGCCTTTCAAGTTCAGCTTTGTATTGGTCCTCAGCTGACATAAACCTAAATAATAGTAATAAACAGCTGCTAATATGAAGATTTTGTGCAATCACTGCTTTTTCTGAGAGTTTTGTTCGACAACAGGAGCAGCATACGAAGTTTTGAGAGAATTAGCTCTTGCGCGAGATTCTGGCCGAGGTGCTGGTGGTTGTGGCCCATAGTTAGGTGCCTAAATTAATAATGTAAACCTTATATGCTCAAAATTTTCACTATTTGCTTTCCCTTGGATTTAAAATAGTTTTTAGGAAAAATCCTACTTACTCGTGGTGCATCAGGCTCATCTCCGCGCCATTGATGAGAACGTCGAACTCCTGATTTTGGTTGAGGATGTGATACTAACCATGGTGGCTCCTCCTCCTGGAAATGCTTTGCAATTTTCAGAGCGAATCTGTCATGAAGAGAGTCGTGGAGAGTTTATAGTTAGTACATGTAAGCGCTATTACTAGCTTTTTTACTTGAAAAGCTGACCTACCCCTAAATCAATAACTGCTTCATGTTCTTCTGTTTCCTCGTGAGGGGTGAAACATTTATCGGAATACAGCTACTGATTAGCCTGCCTTTGGAATTATTCGTGTCAGCACCGTGCAGGAACGTGAATCGAATTGTACGAAGGTTTATTCCCACACGGAGCTAGCATTACACTCGCACTACTTTGGAACGACACTGGCACAGCGCCGACACACGACCGAGACCGAATACTGGTTAACCAGTCAATAGAAAGGAAATGTCTCCATAAGGTAGTAACCAGAACTTTACGCTCTCTTTATAACGACTTGTCATGCAATCACACCATATTGCTCACAGCTCGCTAAGCTACAAATAGCTATTCAATATGGACTACTATCGACTATACTTGGGACCGAATCGAATGATTATTCGATTATTCGAATAAATCATTCGAATGCGAATCATTCGAAAAGTCGAATATTCGAAAATCTGAGATTTCGAATAAATTCGAAAGTCGAATATTCGAAATTTTCAGTTTTCGAATATATTCGATATTCGAATATTCGAAAATTTCAACTTTCGAATATTATTCGAAAGTCGAACATTCGAAAATCTCAATTTTCGAATATTATTTGAAAGTCGAATATTCGATGGTCATCAATTCGATCATTCGATGGTCATCGAATACTTAAATCATTCGATGAACATCGAATATTCGAATATTCGATAATTTGAATGATGAAACCAGAGCCCGGCGAAGACTGTATAAAAGCGAGCTGGATTTGGCTTTTGGGGCAAAAAAGCAAAAGGATATCATTTTTGTGGCCAAAAATTGCGACGTTTTTTAGTCGACGTTTCGTCTTTTGAGGGTTTTTTACTTTTAGGACTGACAGCCAAAGGGGACTTCGTTCTCAAGAAGTTTAGAAACGATCTCATGCTGGGCCCTGAATGGAACTCCTTAAGCCTAGCACGTCACTGTAGGAGTTTCTATCAAGCTACAACTCTCAATGGGGAATGTATATGCTTTGTGGTCCTGGCGCAGTAGTCTAGTCTATACAGTAATCGTGATGCGCCATTTCTCTGATAGATGTAGCTGCTATCGAATTTCGCTATTCAGGGACGCCAGATTTTGATGTTCTTCAACAGCGTCTATCAGTTCTTCATGAGCGTCATTGAGTAGACTTTAAAACTTAAACTTAGAGGAGTCTGCTGCCATATATCGCTTTCTAGATTTGGTCCATTCAACTGTTGAAGGGGTAAGAAAGGTGCGAGTCAGCTCAGATATAACTCAGAGTTAAGTCAGAGTAACTGTGAATTCCGACCAGATTACTATAGACCCTGCCTGAGGTCTAGTGCACGCTGTTCTTTATTCGCATTCGGAAAAGGTGATACATGTGAACGGGAACGTGAAGATGTTCCTGATATCGTCGCAGCGTTACTTCCACTCGACATCGTAAATTGAGGGCGTATTCAAGATAATGCACTAGTGACCGGAAGGATAGTGTTGTGTCAAGAAGTTCGTCGTTTGTTGTAGTGCGAGAAAGGGATATGGTAGAACCAATCATTGTTTAGTATTTCCAGCAGCGCTTTAGCTTATCGCATTGCCAACGAGAGGAAGATTGCTTACTGCCACGAGTGTCGAGTCGAAAGTTGTGGGTAAAGCTTATACAGTTCAACAATGTGTATACTATATATATGTGTATCGTGGAGTTGTTGACGGCACGGACTAGATGTAGAGAATCCGCGCAACGTGCTGAGATATACGTCATGTTTTGCACAGTAGTAGTCGCATAAAAGGGAACTACAAAGACCTACAGTACTTGTAAACTATGCGCTTGGTCATGTTATCATATCAGATGCACATTAATTTTTCGAATGATATTCGAAAATCGAATAATATTCGAAGGTCGAATGAAATTCGATATTCGAATGTTTGAAATTTCAAATTTCCGATTTTCGAATATTATTCGATAGTCGAATATTCGGAATTTTCGATTTTCGAATATTATTTGATAGTCGAATAATCGAAAATTTCGATTTTCGAATATATTCGATAGTCGAATATTCGAAATTTTCAATTTTCGAATATTATTCTATATTCGAATATTCGAAAAAAATTTCGAGCTTTCCCAAGTATGCTATCGACTCAGGGAAATTTCTTGGTATATAAGTTTTCAGTGCAACGGGAAACTTTTCCAAAACTTTTCAAAATAAACCTCATACGTGCTATGCATTTGTACTTAGTTGGTCAACAAATCATACTGATGTTTCAACACGGGACCCTTTGAACCCCACAGTTACATCTCAATCATTGTAAATTTTTACTTTGTATTTCTATCTTGCAAATCTGTGCGAAAAAAAAATTTCAAAAAAAAATTCCATCGTGCCTTCATCGCACGGATTTTTTCTAAAAATGGCAATAATACTTTCTCTTAAACATCATGAAAAAACACTTTTAAGAATTTGACCTTACGGGGCCGGATATCTTGGCGAAAGGGTAAAAAGATGTGCTGGAGAACTTACCTGTTATAAGTCGGTCCCTTGGTCATCAAAAGTAAGTTCATAAAATCTGGTCATGAAAATTATTTTTGATTAAAAAATTTTTCTAAATTATCTCGAGATAGATTGTATTTCAGACGATCACTCTGGCATCAGTGAGAGTCACAGATTTTGACTCAACCTAATTTGCAACTAAAATGATAGCAATTTCTGGTAAAGGTATCGTTTGAAGAGTGAGCGATCTATTGATGCTAAAATTGAAGTAGTACGAAATAAAATCTCGTTCAAGGCGTATATGATGAAAACAGTGAGGCATTTTTTTGCATTTTCCCAAAATACCAAAATATGCTCCTGATTAATAATTTTTTATTCATTTCCATCAACTTGGGCCCATGTTCCGATGAGTTTTTCAGTCGCAGAATTTTAAACCATCGTTATAAATTTAGTTCATATCAAAAGTTCTTTGAAACGCATGTTCACAACATATTCACCGTGAAGACACAGTTTATTCAAGTTAGATTTTGCTGATTATCATATTACACTGAAAGCTAATGCTTACTCAACACTCGAAAATATCTAGTCCATTCAAAATAAAGAACTGCAACATATTTTAATTCATCTTACAACGCTCTTGAGTTGTTTTGCATTGCCCCATCAAGACTGGGTTGCCGTAGGAACACTAAATGCTAGGCTGTAACTAATATCAAGAACGCAGATCCTGGGAAGAATAGAACTGCCACATCATTTTTACTTTAGTGGGTGAGCAATTGTACACCAAAGAGGTTTTCAAGGCCTTTTCCAGTCCTTTATATTACCATCAGAATTGTCTAAGTTATTATCATCATGTCGTCAGGAGAAATAGATTCAAATTTTAGTTAAGACTGCTTCAACATTGAAAGTTCTTAATAAATTTAGTAAATTTGAAGAAAGTTCTGTTACACCTCGAAAATATGGAAAAAGCAGTCTCAGATCATGTTAGATCTTTATTAGCTAAAGTAGATGTAATTGTTCAACGAAAATGCTGAACGTGGCGACTGGGATGAAAAATGTGAATGCAAATATTGTGGCTGTTATTATAAAGATAGCAGCATATAAGCAAAATTGAAAAGCCATTTATAAAATGTACCAGTTTTTTTTTCGAAGTTGTGTAGTCTCTAGTCTCACAAATTGCTTTGCGTCTAAGGGCAAAACATTTTGCAAGAAAGTTCAAATGACGTCTATTTTGACGTTTATGGGACTTTCTATTCAGGACTAGCTACTGCAAGCATGGAAATAATTAAGAATTGGCTAACTATTATGTATTAGTAAATCGGCGATAAAAAACGAATCAGAAAGTTGATCTACTATATTATCAGGCTGGAAACTAAGTTTTGCAACTGGTTTCATAACTTCACTCTCTTTGGATATGGCGCACTCAAACTTTGGCATTATGTAGAAGGCAATGCGAGCTACAAGTGAGCACAAATTGTCTAAATTTTGAACGCAAAATGGAGAAGTTTCAGGCATTTTTCGAAAACTAGTGAAATTTGAGAATTTTTGGGGTTTCAAGCTAAAATGAAGCCTATGGCAGCCTAGACCATACGCATTAATCTGATTCGTCTATAAATTATTGTTGGAGGTTGACTCTTTTAGCCTAGTAAGAAAGAAACAAAATTTAGTAGCATGTCGGTATTTGGCGTCCTCACGAATTCGAACGAGTCGATGTACGCAAGAGCTGCTGGGGACGACCGTCAATGACTAAAGAATCCGAAGCTCGAATTCCGCCGAGACTTTACATAGTAAGGTTATTTGACCTGCCAAACGCGAATATCACATTCATTTGCTGAATCAACGCCTTTTCCCTTGTTTAGGGTGAGACCCCATATCGTACACCTACAGTAATCCTATAAAAAAGCCCTTATCACGCAATTTCACTATTATTTTCGTGATCAGCATGTCGGATAACACCCCCATGCCAAGTTTCAGCCAAATCCGTCAAACTTTGAATTTTTTCCCTTCATACCATGCACCTACCGTAACCCTCACTGCGACGTCACAATTTGTAGGACAGCAGCTACGCTCGTAGCTTACGTAATAACCAATGCAGAGCCAAAATTTAAGTGCGCCATGTTGAGTGTGAGGGAAGTTCTGAGACCAGTTGCAGAACTTAGTTTCCAACCCAATATTTTATGCATTCACTGTTTAGAGGATGCATAAAATAATTCAAATTTATTGAAAAGTACTTAGCACTTTGAGGGCGAGTTGTAACTCTCTTAATACCAAGACATTTTCGATAAAAGAATATTTGATAATATGATAAGAAGAAAAGATGAAGAATATCTGATAATATGATAAGAAAAAAAGATGATTTATTTATTTATTTTTTATTTATGAATACACTCAAGGTGTGTCGTTTACGATTTAGTGTTTACATAATTCGGTTAATCAGCTTCCTTTTACTAACAGTTGGATCGGTTCCTTTCGATTTTGAATTGCTATTAGAAAGTAGATTCTATCATGTTATTTTGTTATTTTGTTAGAAAAAGATGGAGTTTATTTGTTGAAGAGCTAAATTTTTTGAATGCGGTTGCTTTGAAACAGGCTAACTCACTTCCTCAAGTTATTATACTTCAACAGTACAAGAATCGGCTGATATGAAACGCAGAGTTACTGTAGGTTTACTGTACTTTAGAAATAAAAAACGAACCACATCTTCCTGCTGTCGTGTTTTCGTCGAAATCGTGGCGAAGGTGCTGGCCATGTCACGTCCGGCAGCGTATTGCTCCTGAACAACTCATCCGATACACAATAAAATCTCCTTGGCAGCGCTTTTTATACAGCCAGTTTTCAAAGAAGAGCAAAATGTATATTTCATCCAGAAAATGAGATTCGTGAATCTTTGTTTAGCATACCTGCTGCGGTTTAGTGGTGTTTTGGGGCGGAGGTGCTTGGTAGCGGCTCTGTCTTTGGATTTGATTATTCTGATTATCATTTTGGGAATCGTAGTTGTTTACGTAGCGAAAGTCTTCTTTTTGTGAAAGATATCGGTTACCCATATGCATACAAAGGCCATTCTAAAATATATTTACTTAGAAAGAAATTATGAAAATAAAATTAGAAGAGCACTTACTCCAAATTGTTGATTAATAATATAGTTGAGCTGTGGTTCAATCGGAACGTAGCATAATTTTCCTTCAAGATACAGTACTCTTAGTCCAACTATTGAGCCAATCGGATCGACATAAGGTGAATGAAAAGGAGTGTAGAAAGGCTGAGGCAGCTGACAAGGACAAGCCGGGACAGCTTGTTGGGAATAAGATTGCTCATTTTGAGCCGGAGGAAGTGAATTTCGTACAGGAATAAGCTCCACATCGCTCACTCTCACTTCCTTAGCCGGTTGACGAGCTTGTTGATTTAAAGACGGGCTGGATGTACTTCCGAAGAAGTTACCCTGTGACGACGGGTTATAAGCATAGGTCCGAACCATAAAACTGCTTGTTGACGAGTGGGGTCTTTTTGTTGAGGTGCGGGTTCTTACACCAGAAATGAATTATCCGGCTCGATTATTTTCGAGCCCTAAACCCTCGTCAATAAGGGGTAGTACGAGTCGTTGGGAGTAGTGAATGAGCTTTGTTGTAGTAGAGTGAGTGAAGTCTACATTGTTGGCATGACAACCACATGTTGTGTCCAAGGGCGGATCTCTGTGTTCGGATGTGTCCACTAAACATTCCACGCTGGTCACTTTAACCCATTACTTTTTTTGAAAGGTGTAAATTACAAATTTTATGATCGCGTGCGAAAATTTGGTTGAAAAACTAGTAATGCAAGCCCGAGTGCGTCCTAAATTCTCCTAGCTTCACGCAGTTTTGCACCGCTTGCAGCTATCCGCTTTGCTTTTTTAGCTGATTTGAATATATTGCAAGTATTGCCATAATTATGTGTTGAGCTGCACAGCCTTGCGCTTTTCATTTGTAGATTAGATTAGAATGATTGAATTTAACTCACAGTTACGAAATTTGGAAGCACTCTTCTCTGCTGAAAATATTTGATGAGCCCTATAGACATGAGATATTCAGGTTTTTTTTGGAAACAAAATCAAGGGAGTTTATTCATTATTATTGTTCTGGAAGAGTTTAGTAAAATAAAGATAAATAAAAAAAGTGAACTGAGTTGGAGATTTTTTTGGAACTATTGCTCTGGAAAGTAAAATAAAAAAAGTAAAGAAGGAGAGAAGTAAAATTGTGCACCAGAATAAGAATGATGAGGAATAACTAAATGAAAATATTTGCTTCAGAACAGAAAAAACATCCTGTATATCACATTGAGTTAATCAGAATATTGTGTAATTTTTTTGCTAAGACTGAACCAGCCAGACAAGATGTTGAACTATAAATTCCAGTTCATGACATTTGCGAAGAAAAAGATATGGGCGTGGTTTTAATCCAAAGTCCGTATAGTTGTTTTTTTGGTGCACTACAAAGGCTGCGGTTATTTACAGATATCACGGATGCGACCAATAAAGATTGATCAGTTAAAAACTGATCACTTCGATTGACTAATTAATCTTATCATGCAGAAGGATGAAGTACTCCAAGCGAGAGTAGAGTATTTACAGTAATTGAGTTTTAAAGTTTCAATCGCATTCTTGGCCACGACTCGACACAGGTGGATGATAAGCAAGCTGGAGATTGTTTTGGGACAAAAAGTAAAGAGAATATCGTTTTTGTGGTTTTCTTGTCCACAACTCAAATTAAGCTTTCTTAGTGGAGGTTTCATTTTTTTGAGTGTTTGTTACGTTTTTTGGTTTAGGGTCAAAGGGGACTTCGTGGAATTATGGGAAAGTTAAGGGAATTTTTTTTTTGCATTTTCGGAAGGTTACTCGTGCCCAGCCATGTTCTTAGCGGTACCAAAATATCAGTGGTTCATTTTGCTGAGTCTTGAAATCAAAATGTAATATTATCTCAAAAGTCGCAAGGCAGTTATAAAGGTGTTGAAGAGTGGATACATTTTTCTGCAGCACACTGACTATTACAGATGGAGACACTTTCCAAAAATCTTAGATTATACAAATTCTTTCGTTAGTAGCATACCTGAGATACATGGCACGAGAATGCTCAAAGAAAGCACAACCTCAACTACTGAGAGAAGTGGTTTTATTAGAAGCGAAGCCCCTGGGTAAGGGAATGAAGTGCGAGAAGCTCGTAAAGCTTTTTATAACACTCGCAAAGCATAGTTTTTCACCTCAGTAAGATATCTTTCGAACTCGTGGTTCAAAACCTCAACATACCTTTCTCCTTAGCTCACATCGAATCCCTTTTTGGCTCCTAAACTTGAGAACCTTTATTTTCAGAATTATTTGGCTAAAAACGCAATTGCATTTTTTCACGTGTGCTGCCTTTGATAGGTTCCCCTAAAATTTTTTGTTTCTCAAAGAGATTAGAAGGGTGTTGCAGATAACGTCGCAAAAACCAGAAACTTGACAGAGGAATAATGTGAGTGAAACATTGAAAGGTACGTTTATTTTGTGGCACACTTCATCAAATAAATTTCTTCTCTTGGATTTCAATTGGCAGTAGAGAAATTTCTTTTGAAATAGTTATCACAAGCAGTTTTCCGATAGAGAGTAGCAGAATATTTAGGTCTTTTACAATTCATGAATGAAACAGCAGAAAACTACACTATATTGTTGTACATAATGGAAGTAATAGCGAATGATGTTTAGAACTTCAGAAGTTTTCGTCTCGGAACCAAAGTTGTCAAGCTCTAGCTCATGCTTGCTAAAATCATAAGTGACTGAGCAAGTGAGCAAGTGTTTATAGCCTCTCCACAATTTGGGGCCAAGTCAGAGGTGAATGAATGAGTTCATCCGCCGATTACGTAGAAATACATCATCTTTTCCGCGGGATTATTGCTCAAACAATCTACCAGAACTTCCGCAAGACAAGCAGAGTTTGCAGCGGTTCCGCCGCACTTCAGCCATTGAGAAACAGCACGCTCCAAAATGCGGAGTTTGCAAGATATGACGTCGGGCCATCGAAAACCGGGACTTCCTCGGCACTTTGAGCAAGGCGCTGCGGAAGTCCGACCAATTGTCTGAGTGTGTCACAACGCACTTTCTTACAAATTTTGCTCCACGGATGGTCCCGAAATAGCTGTTTCGTCAGGCAAAAAGCTTGTAGCGCCAAACAGTTCTGCCAAAGTCGATCGGTAAGTTACAGAACATTGGAAGCATTTGTATACACAGTGACGAAAGATCCTCTAAGATATTGTGATGGGGCGATGGGCGAGAGCTTCGATGAGTGTTTGCCTGAGAGACAACAAGCGCGGTGTGCTCATGTTAATGCTCCTTTCTCGCATTAAACGCTTACTTTTTTGGATATGGAACAGGTCAGTGGCAAGTTTTTTTTGGGTCTTATCAAATGAACTCTGTGCCATTATGATACTGGCAGCTCAAAAAGCCTCACAGACATCATACCGTAGCTCAGGGCCGTTAGTCGAGTCATGAAAAAGCATGTCTGCAAGAGCAAAAGCCATCTCGTCCAAAATTCCTCCAAAGTATGAATTTTCCTCGCATCTCTAAGTCTATTTTTTGCTTCTATCTTCCTCTCTAACCTTTTTTTCTCTTTTTCTAAAATCAGTGCAATATCTATATGCACTATTCTTAATTTGGCTCAAAGTTTGTCTATCATTTGCTTAATCCGATTCATTAACAGAAAATGCAAAAGCATGAGTATTTCAAAGTCTCTTACGAAATGCCACCCACTCTCAGCTGACATGCAAGTGCTCAGAAATGTCTGTACTATTTCCACTGCATACGTTGCTCCTCTCTAACTTTTCTCTTTTTATTAAGTCGTCATTTTTTCTGACGAATCATGCAGTTCAAGTAGCCGATCCGTCTGAGAGATCAAAAAAATATTGGCTGTAGCTTGCTCATCGAGACTAAACAAACCCATCCTTGAAGTTTCAAAAAAGTTCCTTGAACAGGCTGACTTACTCCATCGTTTTTTCCTTGCATATCCTCCTATTCTTTATCTCATATTTCGTTCTTCAACAATTATATGGGTCAAATGCCAGATTTGTTTGAGGAATCAAAAAACGTTAATAATGACAGCTCCGGTAAAGCTACACGAATAAATTCCTTTCTCTCAGAAGTTCCGTTGATTCGTCCCTACGCCAAATATTTTTTGAAGCCAAATCTAAATCAAATTCGAAAAATCTTCGTTATATTTCGTGACCGAAGTAGTTTAGTCACATACTTTTACTACATAAGAAAACCACTTTGGAAAATTTCTCATCTCAGAAAATTTCTCATTTGAGAAGGAAATAATGAAGATATTTTGCTGCATTTTAACAATTTTATGCACAATATTGGAAGTCTAAGTCCTGCTTATGATGGCTGAGATGTTCTGAAGGAATTTTCCGTACACTTTGAGTGATTATTTCAACCATGAGTTTATTAAGGATTGTTTCACCATGCGTATACGCTAAAGATCATTTTCGTGAGTGTTCTTTCATAGCATATGGGAAGAAGCAGATGGCACATGTGAAAGACTCTAAACTATATGTTTTTTCTGTTGAAAATAAGATAGGATCCACATGAGTCATGCTCCTCATGTTTAGGACCTCTGGAGCAGGGCTCGGCACAAGCTGGCACCAGGAATTGAAACGAAGTACCTTTTGATATTGGAGATTTCTACCGTTCATTTTAGAGACTGTCAATCTTGTCGTAAATATCTCTAAGCAACTAATCATTGCAATTTATCAGAGGAATAAATAAATGATGACAGATAGACATGGGACGCTGTAAACATACACTTCATTGCTTATCAGTGCTTATCAGAACGAAGTCCCCTTTGACCCTAAACCCTAAGCTAAAACCCTCAGAAAGACGAAACGTCGGTTAAAAAGTCGCATTTTTTGTGTCTTTTCGGCTGCAAAAACGATGTCCCCTTTGCTTTTGGTCTCAGGAACGATTTTCAGATTTGATCAGCTGTGCCGAGCCCTGCTCTGGAGTATATGTGTAAGAGACTTTTGAACTCCCGCTCAAATAAGTCTCGTAGATCATCAATATCTCTTTGTCAGTAACATTGCTAGCTTTGAACTGATGATAATCGCATGTGACACAGTCTTTGTTAGATGAGATGACCTTATGATTTGAAGCAAGTCTTAAGTGATGCCGCTTTTTTGATAAAGCAAGCGGTTTCTTTGATCTGACAAATTGCTCAAAAAGTTACGCCTTCAAATGACTATGGGCCCGTATTCTAAAAGGGTGTATGGCCTTATGCTTTTATCATTTCAACTCGTCATAAAATGGCATTTTCTAGCGTTCATTTTAGAGACTGTCAATCTTGTCGTAAATATCTCTAAGCAACTAATCATTGCAATTTATCAAAGGAATAAATAAATGATGGCAGATAGACATGTGATGCTGTAAACATACATTTCATTGCTTATCAGTAGCTGCACCTTTACCTTTAGCTTGTTTTGTATATAAGATCATGTCAATCAAAACAGATTAATGAAAAGGTAATCCACAAAATACAACCTAATACGATTGAATGTTTTGAACAGGCAATAAAATTGTCAAATTTGGATGCTATAAATCCATTTCGTTTCATGTTAGTTAAGTAGTATCCAAATTGAGAACATTTCTTCGAATAAAGGTTTTATTCGAGCTCTTTTTTTCAAATTCCTGATGACTATTGCCTAGACTTTTTGATTAGTCGATGGTGCACTTTTCGCGCAATAAAATAATTAAATAAATAAATTCGTTGCTCAGTGTTAAGAGATAATGTTAAGGGAAACACGAGATAATAACAGCTTTGTCAAACCCTTTGCAGATAGTTTTTTCCTTAATATATGCTCAAGAAGTGCTACAGAGTAAAAGGTTTGTTTGACATTCAAACAAAGTTCGTTTGATTAAACAACCAGATGTCACAGAGACCTTTTCGGGGATTCAGAGAACGTTTCAGAACTGGAACAGGGCTATTATACAATTTTCAATGGAGGTAAAAATTAATAACATCAAATTTTGAAAATAGCTTTTTTGATCGCTGTCACTACTTAGAAAGATGGAAGGATTGCGAGAAATGCAATTTATTGCTCCTACATTTAAGTGTATTTCTGGGACCAGAGAAAGAACGACGTAAATTTTAGAATGTCTTTCATTGAAATGCTGTCATCACAGTCACCTAAACTGACTGCGAATATTCTGCACATTTTTGCATGAGCTAAAAATTTGTAGAACTGTGTTAATTACAACTACAAATCTTCAAATAAGTTCATTTTGATCTGCCCATCACACAGATCTTTATAGAAAAAATAAAAATACATTTCAGCGGAAATTCTTAGAATCAATCTGAGTCAGGTCATAAAAATTAGAAGCTCTACTCCATTTGATATCAAGGCATTTTCGAGTCATATATACCTTACAAAAACAGTCAGAAAAAGCGAATAGACTTATTTGTTAAAAAGATTTTTCGGAATAATTATCACTTAGCGTTTATTTGCTTGTAAGCTTTACTTGTGCCAAGCGCTTAAGTCATAAAGTAAACCAAGATCGTCTTTAGAAGTACAGGAGGATATGGCGACACCCCCTTCCCTGGAAATGCTCGAAATTTTCTTATTAGGTTGCAACAGAATTAATGCAGGTTTTCCGAATTTTGAGTTTGGATTACTATAACTTTTTACAGAAATGGTCAATCCGTTTCCAACAAAAACTACTGCAATCAGCAAAGCTTTGGCAATGCGACAAGCACTATCTCATCGTTGTAGCTTTACTGAGGAAATTTTCACAGCCCGAAGACTGCCAAAGGTTTTCTTAAAAACCTTCAGTTTGAGAGACCATAACTCACTATACTTTGCAGATAATAGTCGGTTGTGCAGCAGTGTTAAAGTTGATTTTTGCAAAAAAAATTTGCTAGAAAATATTGCGAAAAATTTGTAATCACTCATTTTTCACAAATGCTCTCAAAAGACAACAAAGTGCTTTTTTGCTGTTTTATGAATATTCTCGCCGCCAAAGAGAAAAACAGCTCTCGGTTTTCTGCTATCATGTGTCCTATGTCTTTTCTTTCTGCTCACCGCAAAAGCTCCGCAATTGCTCCGCATTTAGGATTTTTATATGCCGCAGAATGATAGCAGCGGTTGTTTGGGTTTGAAATAAAATTTCTCAGTCTGGAAACTTTCGAGAAATTTGCCTCATTGTGCATTTTGTAGCACAGATCACATAAAAACATTAGACCAGTTTGCAAAAAATTCCGATTTTTCGCGGTAGATTCAAAGCAAAGAGTGTAAAGAGAAAAAATTCAAGGTTTACTTCCTTGATTTTAAAAGCGCGTAATTTCGGAATAAACACAGTTCTCCTGAAACGAAAGCGTGGCTAAGAAACTAGAAGAAGAGTACATTCAGAACATATGCATAGTTTCCTAAAACGATGCAATTTTGTTTTGAACCAACACTTTGAAAAAGAGATGTGAAAAATCTGCACTATTTCTGTTACAACCTAATATTTCTGAAATGGGATGGCATGAGTTGTACTAGCATTGCTTAGGTGACTTATTTTTTGCTGTTGATAGCTGAATTAATTTTTTCAAAGCTTGATTAGCCTCACAAAAAAAATCTGAAAAAATTCCAGGGTGAGGATGTGTGTCGAAAAGTGAGAAGCACTTCGAACCGGAACATTTTATTTCTTTTTTCTGACTTTGTAAAGAGAATCATTTCAAATTTCTAAAGGAAAGGTTTTTCTGTCCTCGTGGTGTCATTAGCATCCCAGAATACCTGACTACTGTGCAAATGCGATAAGCCAGCTCTGACTCATCCATGGTCCAGACAGTGTCCACCCACATAAATGCTCGTCTCTGCAACAGTCGTTATGTTTGGATGCTCTGTATACACAAGTATATAAAGCGCGTGTTGAGTGGATGAGTATTGATCGATCAATGTCAATACGAAGTGTCGAGTCTGTGGTGATATTCTAGTTCTCGGCACTATGGCACGACGACGAGACGAGACAAGATATTTTCGCCGCAACGCGACAGTGTCCTTGACGTTCGACTGTACGTACGCGATCAGCACACAATTCACGCATTTTTCCACTGTTATGCGCAAAATATTGAGCTCACCTTGAACTTCGTTGTAGGACCATTTTCTGTAATTCCTGGGGGCGGGCTTACCCTTTTTTGCTCTTTTAAGGATGTTTTTTGACGATTCTTAACACTTTTAAATTTGTTGCTATTCTTGCATTTTTCCCACAAATCTGGACATTCGCAACTTGATTTCCCGATCTTATCTTGCTTTTAATCTTGCATGCCTGTCATGACTCACGCCTGGGCCATGCCCATCTCATGACTCATGCCTGTACCGGGCTAATAAATCCTCTCAGAATTCTTTCAACGAGTGAACTATGCTTTTGGGCAGCCCTTCACAAATTTGTACAAGAGGTTTTATATATCTCTACAAGACTTAAAAATCAGGCGAATTCTACGAATTTACACTATATATGGTCTTTGGTCACGCATCTTTCTTAATTATGACTCACGTCTGCATCATGCTAATCCTTTTCTTTGCTCAAAATTCTTCTAAAAACCTTAAGATGCTTTAAAGGCAGTTTTTTATGATTCAGCAAGAACTATGACCCTGTAGCAGTTGTAAAATACAAATAATTCCTTGCATCGCAACGATTGATAGAAGATGAAGTGTCAATAAAATGTTTTCCACCGATTTCTCTCCAAAAACTCGTTCAATACTCTTCACCTTCCCCATTTCAACCAGCTGACCCATCATATGTAGAAAATCTATTGATTTGATGATAGAAACTATTACTTCATTTTTGAGATATTGGTTCCTGCCTAAGTTTTTTATATCAAAAATCTATTATTGGAATGTTTTTGTTGTCCTTTCATCTTTGTTTTTTGCAACTTTGACTTTTTACAAAAGTCCGCTCTTATGTGTTAAACGTCAATCACTTTTGGTAGGGAATGTTTATGATGGTTCCCTGTTTCCTTTGTTATTTTATAGTTACATCTGTGATAGCTAGTTTTGAGTTGTTCTGCATCTATGAGAATTCTTCTTTTCAAAGTTTTTTTTCCATGCTACCGCGGGTCATACTAATGATTAACGCTCAATCCTTCTAGGCAAAATTTATTAGAAAACAATGTAGTGCTCTGTTGGTTTGCAGAACTTTGAGAGGCATACAAAGGAATTTTCGGGTGTGGTTCACGACACGCCCCTTCATTCAAAAAGGTTCCCGTCACACCCACCCTTTCAGTCCTCAAAAAATTGGTGAGGACATTGAATCAGTTCTTGAAGCTCAATTTTTTTGCTACTGCAGAATATTACTGCTTTGTATTATCTTCGTTCCGAGGAAATCATTTGTATCACTGTTTATTTTTTTGCACAGCTATCGTTCATTTATAGGAGAAAATGATAAGTAGATCAATAAACCAGCCAGTTTTTATTGTAGGTGTAGCGTAATTACCAGCAAATTATTTGGTTGAGCTAGCTGACAAACTCTTTTACTCTCTCTTTAGCTATTGATGCATGAAAGTGCAATGAAGCTACAAGATGTTTTTGGGATTCCTTATTTGGAAAAGATCTGTTCTACTCATCAACTTGGAACTTGCTTCGTCTCGAATGAAGATACTCCATTTATTTCGAAATTTTACATGCTTTGAAAAGTCTTTATTGACTGTTCATGAATTTTTTTTGTCAAATTTAGAAATTACATTTACGCAAGCAGAAAAGGCATTCTGCCCGATATGTCTCATTGATCATGTAGCAATGCTTTGCTACGATGGAATTTTAGCAAACAAAAAGCCGAGTTGATGTTGTTAGCGTAGCCGTTTCCACAGATGGCGATTTCGTTTGCAGATCGCATTAAGTGCCCTTTGACTATAGCATTTTGCAGAACATTTTGCAAACATTTCTGGTTTGTACCTTCACAGAACAGCTTCTCAAGTACCGAGTTCCAGTAAATGCCACACAGTTTATTGCCCGCAGATTGACTATAGTTCTGAACTTTTGAACGACTTTGGTCGCGCTGCTGCCGTCATCGTTATCAATCAAAGTTCCACTAAAATATCTTGTACTCTTTTTTTGCATCATCGCTGTATTTCGGTGGCGAAATGCTTTCCATATATGTTCAGAGAGTATGAGTCATAATTATAGTCTAGCAAATTGACAGTCTAGTGGGTTTGCGTTGCCGACAGCATTTGCGCGTAAAAAATGACCACGCAGCGCAAAACTTGGTAAATTGCGCTCGGTTGCCATTTTTTACGCGTAAGTGTTGTCTGCCGTAGGAACAGTGCATCGATCGTAAATTCCTTCGAAAAGTATGTTATCTGCGAAATTTGATAACTTTCTACTTATATTCGCATGACTTCGTCAAGTCTCATCAGAAATTGAAATGTTCATCTATGTTAGCATTGTGTCAGTATCTCATATGCCTAATGAAGCTCACTCTTGATTTTATTCGCTATTTTCTTGTATGTATTGTGCAGCAACTTTTTTAACGAACTAATTATCAAAGCAGAGCCACGCACATGTGAGTCAATGATAATACACTTGGCCGAAATGAGCTATATGCCCTCGAAGTCGACAAAGTCTTCAGCTCAAGATTAGTCATAGATGCAATGGTCGAAAAGAATGTAATCAACGATACTTTTTGTCCGAAGTCACTTGTTATTAAAGGCATTGGCGGCTCTGCAGCAGTTGATTCTTTCATTTTATGATTGGCTCATTGCTCAAGCGTCTCCGCCCTTTATGGCGGTGATTGGCTGTTCTCTGCTCCAAGACCGCCCACTTAACATTTATCGCGATTATGAAAGCAAACTACATATCTATATTTTTGGAACAATATCGCACAGTTCTAACCTTTCAGCGTGTCAATGAAAGGAACGTCTGCAAAAATGTTGTTACCTTGCATCTATATATACTTGTATCAAGTAAATGCTACCACAGTAACCTAATCAATCTTACTCAAAGGTTTGCTTTTGGAAACTCTTAGAATTAGTTGTGATGGTTCTGTCGTCATAGACTTCTGCACACATTCAAGCTCTCAAAACAGCAAGAATTGATCTCAACTCGAAATTTTGCTAAAACTTGTTCAAAATAACCAAATTGTCTTGTTATAGCGTCTTGGTGCAGATGTTTTACAAAAAGGAGCTTTTTCCTGCTTCCCTAACCTCAAAGCAAAATTTCGTCATTATTTCTTACTTCTTCTATTCTCGCGTCACCTATTGTATGGACAGGTTTTGGCAGGTTTTGATTTACACGGGGACGCCAAACGAAAGTACGCACAGACTTCAAGAACAGTAAAATAACAACATGTAAAGCTGGATTTGCAGCGCCCGTTATGAAAAATAGAGCATGTTTTTGCTTTCTTTGAAGTTAAAATTGCAAAAAGAGAGCAAGGACTGTGAGAAATTTCGCTTTTATCTGCAAGATGCCGTCTTCTATATGATATGTTTGCTACTGTTGTCTCGTTTTTGTAAGCATCCACTTTCCCATCGATGACATAGATTTCTTCTGCCATTCAGCTACAAAGGACTGCAATTTTCTACTTGAAATGATTACCTGTTCCATGTCGTTAAACATGGCAAAGTAATTGGAAATCGATTGCTGGAAATATCAAATGCAAGAGATTCATGTAAACTACCGACTTCTTTTGGGAAAAGTGAAGTGTAGGATTTCTTGAAAACATACTCAAACTTTATTTTCATTGTTTATGGATCATACTACTCACTTCCAGATAAGTATCGCTTCATTCATAGTGATTAGATCAACTCCAAAACTGTAGAAATATATATTACATTGCTTTATTTCTGTTCTGGCGCTCCTATTTTTTACTTTGTTTCTGCAAAAATCAAAAAACTATATTTACCGTTTGATTCCTTATTACATTCCCCAAATTCTATTTTGATTATTCAATGTTCATCCTGAATCGTGTCTAAAAACCTTGCAAACTTTTTTTCAAACAATATTGGCTTCAATAAAATTACCTTTTTCTCACCACTCTATACACATATAGTTAGTGTGTGGTCTCAAGTATAGAATCTGCTCCCTCTTGGTAATGTTACTTTTAGGTTTCTTGGCATGATCTTGTGCTGTTCGGGAGGGAATGATGAGCACACGAAGACCATTGAACGAGATTTGCACAATGAAAGAAAAGTTCTTAGGAGACAAGTTAGTGCTTTAGCGACTTCAAATAGGAAAGCAAAGTTAGCGATTTCCACTAACGAAATGCCTTGAATTACTCGAAATCAAATTTTTGTCCTTTCACAAAAACCGGTTTCTTCAACAGTATTTTCGCTCTCCTCTTAATACCATAGGTAGAAAATACCCATAAATCTACTAACAATCTTTACACTTGGTTCACAGGTGAAAATTCTTTTGCTTGGATCTGGAGAATCAGGCAAATCGACATTTATCAAACAAATGAACATCATTCATGGTGCAGGCGAGTTTACTGCAGATGAAGTACGCGCCTACAGACAACAAATCTATCAGGTAGTGTAAAACTTCAAATCGTCTATTTGCAACAACAATAATAATATTATTCAACATTTGTAACACTTAGAAAACAATTAAGCCACAATAACAAACAATTTGTTGATTGATGTAGCCAACGGCTTCTTCTCAAAAATAATGTATAGCCCATATACACACTAAGAGACGTGCGTTTTGGAACATACGAGCCTTCAAGAACATTCTTTTAGAGACCAGAAAATTTTTCGTAGGCTTGAATTTTTTCGCAAGAATATAATTCGTTATATAATTGTCGATTACTGTGAAAGTTCCATACTTTTGCAGAATTTCAGTATGAGGATATGCTGGCCAAAATCGGAACTGTATCATAGTAAATTTTTTTTCAAAATTTGGATGCTATTCTCTTTATTTCACTTTCAAATCTTGTTAAATAAGTAGTGGTCTCACAAAATTTTTAGGGAAAACTGAGACGGAAGGAGAGGGAGGAATGCAAGCATGAGAATTTTTAAGAGTGAAGAAGCGGCTTTTCGAAATGTTTTTTTGGACGCCTAGCGAGATTCTTGCGGATGCACAACACTGCCCAAAAAGCACAGCTGATTTGATTTTCGCACAGAATTTGGAAAATTAATTTGATTGCTCACAGTCATAAAACTTGTAACCTTATTCAAGGCTCACATTAGTTAATTCAAGGGAACTATCAGAAACGCGCTAATTGTATACTTCTTCAGAATGCGATATCAGCAATGAGAGTACTTTTGGATGCTCGAAATAAACTGAATATACCTTGGGAGAAGCCTGAAAGACAGCAAAATGTAGATAAAATTATGAAGTAAGTAAACTTCGGCTTTTTGTTAGATCAAAGTGTTTACTGTTTCTTTTTAGATTCACCGTAGCTGATCTCTTAAAAGGTATTGACTACACTACATTCGCTGATGTTGCACCTGTGATCCAAGATTTCTGGGATGATGCTGCAGTTAAGCAAGCCTACGAGAAACGAAATTTGTTCCAAATTGTAAGCATAGCCTCTCCTCAATTCACATGGATCCCATTCCATCTGTATTTCAGAGCGATTCGTGTCAATATTTCTTTGATCATCTCAGCAGAATCTCCATGCCTAATTTTCACCCTACAAACAAAGATATTTTATATTGTCGAAAAGCTACGCGAGGAATATGTGAACATACATTTGTAATCAATAAAATTCCCTTTAGGTACGACTATCCGACTTTATAACTTCTACATGTTCAATCAGTATATTTTACGGCTATCATAGTGCAGCTGCGGTGTTGACAACATTTTCGCGGAGAGAGATGCACTGCTTGTAAATTCAGACACCTTGCTGGTGATTCGCACGTAAAAATGTCCGTCAAGCGTGTGCCATTTACGCGCAAATGTTGTCGACAACGCAAAACTAGATTACTGTAAGCCTCAGCAAGCTATACTCTTGTGAAGTAATGGTCATTTAGATTTATTGACGTTGGTGGCCAAAGATCTCAGCGGCAAAAATGGTTTCAATGTTTCACTGATATCACTAGCATATTATTCATGGTAGCTTCAAATGAATACGATCAGGTTCGAATACGAAAACAAATGAAATATGTGCAAGAAACTGGTGATGTAGGAGCGGAATTACGTTGAACTCAAATATCTCGCTCCATCAGTTTAGGTGATACTGGAAGACCGCAGAACAAATCGGGTTGTTGAATCACGATCTGTTTTCGAGACTATAGCCAACAATCGAGCGTTCACAAATGTTTCTATCATCCTCTTCATGAACAAAAGTGACTTGCTAAAAGGTGAGTCTCTAGATTCATTGTGTTAAAAAAAAACTAGTGGTTTGTCGGAAAGTATGAAAAACGAACCACGTCAGAACTACCTACTTGTATCAAACATAAATCGCATCGCAGTCCAAAAAAGAGAGTGTGAAGGTGCACTGGTTGAGTAATGTGTGGCGAGAAATAAGGAGAAAAAGTCAATGTGAGAAAACATATTTTCGTACAGATTTTGATCTAACATTTCTGGCTAAATGTTTGAGCAGAGCGAACAGGTCCCGGCAGGCTTCCGCTTTGAGAGAAATCCCCATGACCTTGCACCAATTTCCCAGAGTCTAATCGTAAAGTATATGAGATGGAATGGTATACAACGTATTCAAGAAAACACCCCCTTGTTCAACTGCGTACATTGGCAAAATCGTCGGTGTATACAAAATGTTTGCAAGAAAAATTTCGAGGAAGCATCACTTTAGCTTCCAAGATAAATTTGTAGCAATGACAGTAAACTGTTTGCCCCTCTACTTGCAACACCAAATGGACATGGAAAAGTGAGATAACTAGAAAGGGCTTATCTTACTCCTAAGAAGAATACTGGTTCAGCCTTGAATGGAACGCGATTTTTATCGAAGCTCATTATTTTACTGTTCATGGTCGGCACAAGGGTGGCAAATGGACTCCTGTGAAACGAATACGCCTTTGCAACTCTATTTTCCCGATTTTCACCTTGATCGCACCAACTGCGCAGTTTACGCGCATTTTCTTCCTCTGAAGCCGCGACTCGTTTGCTATTCCACTCTAGCAAAGAGGAGAGGGGGAGTTTTGGAAGCAAAATGTTAGTGTTTAGTAAACTTAGGTGTAGAACAGATATGAGTAGGTTCAAATAACTTATATGAAACGGAAGTTTTGCCCACCTCAGTTGGGCATTAGGTGCTTTGCTCCCTAATCCTACTGCGCGTATACACACCTATGGTGTCATATTGTCACCTGTGCTTTGCAAACGAGTCATTTTTCCATTTTTTAGTAGCGGGGAATCTTCAAGGAAAAGCTTATAGCGTTTTTTAATCACATGATTTTTACAACTTCACTTTGTTCCTTTTAGCCCATGTTTGTCTACATACCACCTATGACTGCATAATCTCATGTGCGCATCGTAGTCAATTAATTTGTTCACTATTTTGTGCAAAGAAATTTAGTTTTCGAGTTGGCGTCTTGAAAACGATCATGCTTGAACACGTAAGTTGTGTAAGAATCCCTCACGCTACTGTTCGAGAGGAATGTAATGCATACGAACATGGAGATAACCCCTTTGCTTTTTCACATAGAACGATTTCCAGTCTGACACTTGCCCCTCGCTCTGCGCCCTGTTTATGGCCTAAAGAAGAGGGGGGGGGGGCAGTGGTTGATATGGCCATTCAAAGACAGCGTCCCACCAGATTGAGGGGTACCTGGCTCTGGTATTAATGTAATTGTAGACCATCTAACTAAGCGACGACAGAAGTTTGCAGCGCGACAGGGGGTCTACGAAGTCTACAAATCGCCCTCCCCCCCAAGTGGCCCGAATCTTAGGCCCGAACGCCGCTCACAGATCAATTTCGAACTGCAAGGCCAGAGCACGCATGGCGCACACAGTCATGAGTCCAGGGTCCCACAACGACTCTGCGTCTCTACCTTGCATGCATCTCGTACTCGCCCGAGCCTACTGTAAGATCCGGGATACTTGAGGGGCGATTTGTAGACTTCGTAGACCTTTTTCGCGCTGCAAACTTCTGTCGTCGCTTAGTTAGGGGGTCTAATATTGCATTAATACCAGAGCCAGGTACCCTCCAATCTGGTGGGACGCTGCCTTTAAAAGCTTGACGGCTTTTTGATCATTTTAACTAATCCAAGCCAAAAAGATCTAAAAGTGAGCCTTTTTCAGACGCCTTTGTCAACCCCATTGGTTTGCTGTGCTCCAAATCTTTAAACAGAGAACAAGATTACAAACTAGTTTTCGAAATTTTTCGCTTGTTATTTCACCATTACTGCTGCGACCTTGTGCTAATTTTTTTTACAAATATCTGTCAAATTTGAAATGACCTGAAAGGGGAAAATGCTTGTGGCCATTGATAACGAGTGTTATCAATGGCCACAAGCATTTTAGTGTTGAATTTAAAGATGCGCCTCCATATACTTTTTTTAAATCTGTATTTCTTTCTATCAGGTTGGTGCAAAACTTCTTTTGCACCAATTTTCTGAAAATCACAATCTCTTGGTCTCTCGACAGCTTGCACAAAGCCAATCATGCTAGAAAAATGAACCAAGCTTCTTGTAAAACCTTAATTTCCGGGGTGTAAGGCGCAGTAGCTTTCACCGCGCGCGGACTGGTGTATGATGACGTTTACGATGCGCGGCGCCGCACAAGCAGCCAACAGCAACCTCTTTCACCCAGCAGTAGTTTTTTGCTCCCGTTCTTTGCTGTTTTCCTCTCAAAAGTGATTTGTTTCAGAACAAATCTCTGCCTTCTCTTTGATTCTTCAAGAATATTAAGGACCCTCAAAATATCAGCAGTATCATTGTAAAGGATAGCACAGTTTTGTACCAGTAGCATTACCGGAAACGAAGAAAGCACAAGTGCGGTACCGGTAATATCACTGGAAACAAAAGAAAGAATCATCCAAACACCATAAACACCATTGAGATCACCTTCCTCCCACCTGTAGAAACGATATCAAAGTATTACTCTAAGTAGAGGAAAAAATACCTGGAGGCATGATTTGTGAGCAGTGAAGAATAACATAGCACACTGTTTTTTCTTCTCACCATTTTATATTTGAAGAATAATCATTTAGAAAGAGTTTCGCGCTATTGTTCGCTGCGGCGGGTGCGCCTTATACAAGGTGCGCCTTAAAACCCGGAAATTAGGGTATCACCTTTGCTACTCTCTGATGAGGTGGTAGCATTGAGTAATAAACTGCTAAAAACCTGAAACTTGCGATAGATGGAAGCAATCTGCAATATGTGCTTTATCCACTCTTTCCAACAATGCGGAGCTTGTATCAAATGAGCATCTCTGCAAAGAGTTGTGATTTATGAAAACTATGCCAAAAAGTTAAATTTGCTAAATACATTGCTTACCCAAAAACATGACGTTTTGCAGAAAATCTTATTCGATACGATTTTTGCACTGTTGGAAAGGGTACATCAAAAGACACATTGCTTCTCCTCCAATTTCTATCACAAGTTTCAGATTTTCAGCAGCTTAACTTAAAATGACCGAAGCTGAAGTCATTTTATTTCCCTGCTTCTATTTAAAAGCTACCCCTTATTAGAAAGTAGCAAATGTACTCACAAAGGTATGGATCTCTCTATCTAACAAAATCAAAATTATGCAAATCCGCTGAAGAATGAGAAGCTATAATTTCCAAAAATGGTGTTAACGAACTTTTGCACCAACCTGAATATTAGGTTGGTGGAAAAGTTCTTTCCGTTTTTGCATCAGTTTGTAAATCCCGCAGAGTAAAGATAGACAAACATTACAGCACTGTTCTATGCAAAATTTCCTCCTCTTCCCTCTTCCTTCCTTTCGATACGTTTTCATTGCAACTCTGTCAACGAGCTCAGAGATAATCGCCGAAATTAGACATTTTACCTCTACCAAGTCTGGCTTAAGCTAATCAAAATTTTTACCTGCAACTTTACAACTTTGATAGCGAGGTAATAATAGAGCAATACTTTTTGCATCTCTCTAGCCTGCTCATTTTGGAACTAATGAAATATGCTGGTCCAAAGGTTCGTGCGCATCATTTTTAGAAAATCCTAATTTCTTCATATCTTGATTGGTTCCTTTGAAATTATCAGGTTGTCTCATAAGTTTTTTTCAATTTTGACTTCTACCGCAATAAGTCATGCTTCTTATTTCTGATTAGAATGCAGGGTAACGTTCAATAGAGCAAAGCAAGCTGTACAAGGTGCCTTGTAAGTGGTTGCACTAGCTTCATTACATCACGAATTAAAAGGCCGAAACCTAAGAACTCTCGGATGCCCCAAAAATCGAAAATTTTTTATATCTTTTTTCTAAGAAGACTTACCAGATTCTAAACTTGCTCAGCATATACACCCATATCATTCATATATGTCATTGCTATGTTTGTTTTTGTGCTGAATACCGAGAAAACTAAAATTTCCAAGCTTCCAAAAAAGCGATGCTGCGATGTTCCCACACAAAGAAATATATACTACAGCCCTTCAGAAATATTCCGGTGAATTTTCAGCTTCCTGGAAGGGCTGTTCTGGGAAATACCGAATTTAGCTTTTTGCTAGCGTATTTTGTGTTAAATTCAATATTTCTCGGGAACTGGCGCTTCCAGAAGTGAAAATTTACCAAACCATTTTTGAAGGCCTGTAGTATACATTTACCTATGTGAGGACAGCGCAGGCAGCGCAGCATCGCTTTTTTGGAAGCTTGGAAATTTTAGTTGTATTGGTTTTCACCACAAAAACAAACACAGCAACGTCATCTGTGAATGTCTTATGTGGAGTGTATATGCTGAGCAAGCTTAGATTTGGTAAATCTTCTTTGAACAAAGATATAAAAATTTTCCGATTTTTGGGGCATTCGAAATTTCTCAAACTTCGGCTTCTAATTCGTGATGTGGTGAAGCTGGTGCTAACACTTACACGGCATCTTGTACAGCTTGCTTTGCTCTATCGATAGGTACTCTGCATTCTAGTCAGAATTAAGAATTATGTGACTTATTGCGGCAAAAGGTCAAAATTGAAAAACTTATGAGACAGCCTAATAATTTTATCTGAAAGCACAGATCAAATTTCTCACAGCAGTAGGCTTCCGGTAAACTAGTAGAGGAAGTTTGTGAGTTAGAAGGAGTCAAAAAAAGTGTCAAAACTGGCATTTTTCAAACAGGGTCTCACCAAATCCTGAGTGAATTCATTTGGACGAAAAAAATTTTCGCACCACTTAGCACTTGTCCCTTTAATTAATATGAAAAAAATAGAGTTAGAAGCAAATGAAGAGAATTACTCTAGTTTCGCGAACTTTGAGCATGCTAAAAGAAATCTAAAAACGTCACAGCGGAAACCAAAACAGTCATAAACATGGATGGTATGACCTTCTCTTTCTAGCTGATCGCAAACTCTGCTAATCGGAAGCAGATTTGATTTTCATGGGGTTTTCGGTTTTGTGTCTGCGTTTTCTACGGAAACCACATCCGCTTCCGATTATCAGAGTTTCCGCTCAGCTAGGTAATGGAGGTAATAAAGCCCATGTTTATGATTGTTTCGGTCTCCGCTGTGACGTTTTCAGATTTTTTTGAGCATGCTCAAAATTCGCAAAGTTTGAATTATTCTTTCCATTTACTTCTTCATTTTTATTATTTCAGCTCGCGGGAAAGGTGCTAAATAACGCACAAAATTTTGTCTTTCAAATAAAATTGCCTTCAGAATTTTTCGTGGCCCTGCTCAAAATGCCAATCTTGACTAATTTTCTTCAGTCGCTTCTAACTCGCGAACTTCCTCACATTTATTAACCGAAAGCCTACTATTGGGAAGAGCTTGATCTGTGCTTTCGAATAGAATCACGATCAACGGAATTCATCAAGATAAAGAAGTTATGATTTTTTGAAAAGGATGCGCAAAAACTTTTGGATCAACCTAATGTATTCTAGAATGACCAAGTTTCATTATCGGCCTATTTTGAACGCAAAGTGGACAGTTTAGGTAGAATTCTATTTGCATTTTTTGTCTTCTTTTTAACTGTCACCTTTTTCTTGCGATACATGCGACTTTCGCAGATAAGAACGCCGTGTTTCTTAATTTTACGGCTGCGCACTACTGTATGTACCTTAAATTTTAAGATGAGCGTAAGATAATCGGTAATTCAGCTTCCAAACTTCAATATATTAACAATCGAGTTTTGCAACCTCGATATTCTGAAAATTTGGATGTTTGGTGCACTTATATATTATGCGATTTTCTAAAGAACTCGCAACTTTTAGAGAATCATCTAGTGAAATCGTAAGCAACTTAGAGAAATAGAGAAGATTGCATTATGCAAAAGGTTTGCATTCAGGTGGCTATCAATTAATCTTCAAAAGTCCCAAATAGAATTCTTAAAATTAGCGAATAGGCAAATAGGCAAATAGGCAATAGGCAAATGTTAATAATGGAGGTCCGTCAACTTAACGTCAACGGCAATTATCCCCTATCCAACGCACAAGTCGCAATGTGAAATAACTGCTGGAAAGAGGAATTAATTCTGCATCGAAAATTGCTTGAAACGTTTGTTTATTTTCACCCTACGGTATTCGAGGGTCACACTGAAGAATTACTTTGAATATCGTACTAGCTTGCTTACCCGGCTCCGCTCGGCTTTGTCAAAACAGTGTAATGGAAGTCCCATCGCTATCTCTGTACAGCCTTTCCCTGTGCCCATTTCTACACTTCATTTTTCCGTTCTCTGTGTTGTTTTCGAAATCAGCATGCCCACTTACCCCCCTGTGCCAACTCCCAGCCCTGTAGCTCAAACTTTGCAAAAAATCGATAAAATCGATAAAAGTAATAGGTAATGCCAAAAATTAATATTGTATTCGGAATCGCCATGCCCATTTACCCCCCTGTGCCAACTCCCAGCCCCGCAGGTGAACTCTGCAAAAAATCGATAAAAATCGATAAAATCGATATCGATCGATGACGAAAGTAGCCTATGACACGCTCCCCGCCCCGAAGTATACGTGTGCCAAGTTTGGTCCAAATCGGTTCAGAAATAAAAATTTCTATTCAGCACATACGTACACACAAACAGACAGCCAGACAGACAGACACACAATCAGCTTTGTATATAATTTCAGAGATTTGTATTTCAGAGAAAGTGCCTAAGTCGGACATTCGGCAATACTTTTCCGACTTCACCGGCGATCATACGTCGGTGCGAGACGTGCAATTCTTTTTGGTCGACAAGTTCGAAACTTCACGGAAAGATCGGGCTCGTCCATTTTTCTATCATTTTACAACTGCCATTGACACAGAAAATATAAGACGAGTATTTGTTGATGTTAGAGATACAATTTTGCAGCAAAATCTTAAATCACTTATGATGCAGTGATATGCCTGGTATATGATTCCTTGATGTATGTATAGAAATATGATTGAAGAGCAAGAAACAAGTTTTAAATTATTTGTTGAAATGTTATATACAGACAAGTGATCCGATACATTGTGCGATTTTGCTTTGTAAGAGGGATAAAAGCAATGTAGGCTGCTCTTCATAGCCTATCGTGCAAACTCATAAGTCGTACAAATCATAATCAAACAGTCAAACAACACATGAAGCCTTTGTGTTTTGCAATCAAATAAACATAGGGAAAGGAAAGGAGAATAAGACTGTGTCAGGTCTAAAAGATGGGTTGTGCATGGTCCCTGATAGTACGCAAGTGCAGTTTCTGAACCAAAATACCCCGCGCTGTCGACGGCTCAGACAGTATCTTCCAACAAACATGATCGAAGCGCCGCCAAGGTCAGAGATCTGCTCCAAAAGACCCTCTAACTTTGGATTTAGAAGCCACCCAAAATCTTGTTTTCTTTTTCGCTTTCAATGACTGTGCTTTCACCAAATATTACTCAGAGCTAAGAAGGCGAATCAGGCTTAAATCACTTCTACGAAATCTACGAGGTCTAGGCTATCGACTCATTTAAATAACGTTCGCTAAAGATGTTTTTTGACATAGTTAATGGGGTGTGGCACTACACCGAAAAGCTGTGCCACAGCTTTTAAAGGGTGGTGCCACACCCCATTAAAACTTCATACAGATCAAATAGCTGCGTTCTTTATATCGTTGTTACTACTTCCTTACATAGCAGAAATTTCATATGAAAACGTTTCTTCAAGAGCAAGATATAAGTTTTTCCTTACCTATGCAAATGTAAAGTACTGGCATAATACTGCAAAAATATTGGGATACGGTAACATGCTAAGTCTGCGCTACCGCGTGAATCGCAAGGGAGGCGACAAGAATGTATATATTCGATAGCCTAAGCCTCGTATCTACGTTGAAGTGATTTGAGCCTGATTGGTCTTCTCTAGATATTGAAAACGAAAAATGGAACAAACAAGATTTTGCTTTGCTCTTAATTCCTTAATTTCGAGGTCATTTAAAGTAGGAATCCTAATGTGAGCAAAGAAATAGTAGTTATTTGTATAAAGCGCAAAAAGAAGTAGTTAACTTACCTTTGAAACAAAGTAACATGCTTGAAAACGACCATCCTGTATTTGGAAACCTCAGAATTTGCTGGAACTTGGACCACAGGGGTTATTTTACTTGCCAATTACAAAACGATGCTCTTATACTTTATAGATCTTTAAGTATGCTTACTGTACGTATACGATAATGGGTTAAAGATTGATGTGCTAGTATTTTGCATGACGGGCCTGACATTGTTAACAAATATCATGTTATGCGAACAGTGGACGCCTTGACGACCACCCCTCCCCCTCCCTGATTCCTCAATACGACCCTCCAGGTGTGGCATGCCACACCCACGCTTGACCCTGGTGATCGCTAATACATTAGCGAGAACAGCACTGCGAGAGCCAGCGCTCGCGGCTCGCTGCAACGAGGTCCTTGTATGTGATCATAATATAAACTATACTTCACTTCGTCAAATAGTTATCCAACCTTTGCAATTGATTCATTCTGATTCAGATATGCAAATATGTGTAGCAAATATATTCAGATATGTGTAGCATGCTATGATGGGGTTTTCGCATCGATACGATTTCAGTGCGCTGGTAAACATTTTTTTCGTTTCTGTGGGTGATAACGAGCAATGATCGAAAGGAATCGAATTCAAGAAGATTAGAGCAATCTTGAACAGACCTTGAACAACTTGGAGAATATTATCATCGTACGTTAAAACTTATCAGCAATCGGGCAGTGATGTAAATATTTGTAAAGATGAGGTTTTGGTTCGATTTCAGCTTCGAAATTTGCATTCTAAAGCATGCTCAATATTATACAGGATGTCCCAAGGAATGTGCCGAGTGTTTGATAGTAAATTTCCCTTTGTCATTAGGTCTTTGGAGATGCTTCAGGTGCCATTTTATAGAGCTGCTTCAGTTTAGATCTACAGTATGGAGCGAATCACCGATCGCTCTTCGTTGCTGTAGGATTACGGTACGATTCTCAGCGAGGGTTTTCGGTCAGTGAGGCCTTATTTCGGTCCAGCAATAAAACAAAAGACCTGAAAATTCAAGCACTAGGCTAATCAGTGCCGCTGACACCGAATATAAACTTTGTGCTTTTTCGTAATGCTTTGTTCATAAATTATGCCAAGTGAACCGCTGTAGCTGTTTTGCTTTCTAAAATTGTGATTACACCATTTCAAAAGCTTTAAAAATCGTAAAAAGTTGAGTAATGAGATCAGCGCGCATGAATAGCCAAGAACACAACCTTGCGGATTTTCCTAATTCTTTTTTCGGAACACTTCAGTCCACAGTGACTCTGTAAGCTGGAAGTTCCCACCGTAATCCCACAGTGATAAAGAGTGATCGGTGATTCGCTCCACACATTAATCTAAGGTGAAGTTAGCTCTACAGAATGGTACTTACCTAAAGCTTTTCGAAGGATTTCATGACATGGGAGTTATTAGTAATCAGATAGTAGGTACCTTTTTGGGACAACCCGTACAGTTTGAGCGCTTAGTCCAAAATATCACCCTTTTCAAACGTTATCATGAATGCCTTGCTTGCCTTGTAAAATATCCTCGTTACAATAAAGAACACTCGTTGACTGTAACGCAAGCCAAGGGCGTTGATGAAAGTACTGCGCAAAGTCCTAACCGTTGCATGACCCGTACTTGCTTAGATCTCAGGTTCGAAAACAGTACTTTTCCGCTATCCGGATCTTTTCGACAAAGATATAGCTTCTTCCCTTGTACCAAATTTGTTCAAAACTTGAAGAATAGACTTCCATCCTCCTGTCACATGCCAAAAAATTGACATGTCATCTATGTCACGTTCAACAGCTTTTAGCAAGATGTTTATCATACCATCGATTCGTTGATCGCGCGGACTGCTCAAACCCTCCGGACCACGCGCAGCGCGTCTGAATTGTCGCGATAGCACCACTTGTACAATGGCGAATTACTGGGGCAAGCGGTTTTACCTCGCGGCGCGTGCTTCGCACTGATGTCCAGTCCGTCCGGTCAACGAATCAACTATACCTACTAATGGAAGCTCATTTCGTTTTCAATCGATTATGACCGCTCTTTTACTCGGTGTTTTCAAAGAATCAGCATCATAAAGGTAACACCGTGTGTTCAATGGGCACATTAGATTTGTCCGAAAAAGGGCCATTGTTCCATCATCTAAACGACAAAGCGGGCGGTATTCATGTACTTCAAGCCATCATTTATATTCTTCCTTGGCCGAATTTGTATGCAGCAACAATCTGGAGAAAAACATTTGAATCGTTGCTAAAATCGGCCAAAATATTTCAACAAGCGTATTGCACAGTTTGTTTTTTTTTATGAAAAATCGCCGTGCTTTTGAGTCATTTCAAATGCTCTCGTATTTCTCCGGAAGTGTTGTAAAAACATGTAGAACTAATTCCAAACTGTTGAGGTGTTTCACCCTAGAACTTTCGAGACAGCCCTTGTAGGATTTATGTCTGGTATCCTGGAAAAATGGACCCGGATAACGGAAAAACGCCATGAAAACCTTTAGGATTTCGTTATGGACAGACGCCTTATCGATAAGCTTAAAAACATACGCAAACAAAATTGGAAAGTTTCCATTACATAAAACAGCAACAGTACCCAAGAATGACTTCTCACTTTCGAAGTACAATGCTTGAGAACACGAGGGATACAAGTGGACAATTACAAAGTACACTCTCCCAAAATCATAACTTTTATGACTCCATCTCAAATGAACAAAGTCTGTGTTATTAGGTTGATGCAAAAATAGTGGCCGATTTGCGAATTCTCACTTAGACCTCTTGTAACTTTTTTTAAAGAATACACATTTCCCGATGCGGTAAAGACCATCAGAAGAGCAAACTTTTGCAGTACAGCGCACATTTGCATGCAGTCATATCACAAATGGGCAGAAAAATACGGATTGAAAAACAAAAAAAGTTTTTTTCCAAGACTTTGTATTTGACAATTCATAACTTCTCTCAAAATTGGTCAGCTTAAATTATAAGTGGCCTACCTTGTTGCCGCAAGCCAGTGGTACAAAACACTATGAAAGGGGTTTGGAGAAAGAAAATTTGTGAAAAGGAAAATAATGAAAATTAAAAATTGTCAGTTTTTACGACATTTTTTCAGTATGCCTCAAACTCCCAAAAATAGAATTATCTGATTTTCTGCGTACTAAACAGCTGGATGTTTCTGCAAAAGCTGCTAACAGGTTGCACTAGCATTACGCTTACGAATTGAGCAAAGCTTTGGCGAATAATTTCTTCAGTAGAAATTTGTGAGTCATAAAATAACCGCAACGGTTTCCCATGTTGAGGAGCCGATATCTCAGTCTGGATAACTTCAAATTCTACAATTAAGTATGCATGATGTAGACATTTTTATGACATACCATAGCTAAATTTTTGAGAAAGCGTCATTCATGCGCCCCTCGGATTCTGGCCAGAAAAGTGAATGCAATATAATTCCGAAGCTGAATTCGGTTATTCAAAGCTCAGTGGCTTTATAACAGATGAGGATAAAAGCCCGCCTCAACCAGCATTAGATAGAGCAAAAAAACAGCTTCTCAGTGGTATGCTATATCTGTTCCAAAGAAGAAGTTTTAATGGAAAAAACTATTATCTTTGCATCGATCTAATAATTGTTCGTTTTTTTTGCAAAGTCGTGATTTCACGAGGACGACACAAAAAAGCAAAATCAATTCGCATCCTTCATAAAAAGGGAACAAATTTTTTAGACCGCTTACATGCATGCGGGATAGTCTCCATGGAATTTGACCGAAGAAATGTCCATAACTCGTAATAAACAGTTTGAATTCCAAGCAATTTACTTTAATTGATAATCAGAATGCTTTGCACAAGATCGTATCAATTTCTGGACTGCCCTCCATAGCCTTGATACGAACAATTTCTTATTTAAAATAAATAATATGGCACGTAGCGGAGGTGCAACGACGAGCACACTATAGAAACATGCAAGCAAGATTGAGTCGCAATCTAGCGT